CACGAAACATAAGGATGAGTCACCCTTAAAACTCATCTTTGATCACCAAAATCACATATTTAAATGTTTTTTTCAGCTATTCCTTAAAATATCTTGAATATAACTGGACACCCTCGCCTCATTTAGAATGCGCAGTCCTATGAATATGCAAATGAGCCCCGCCTCACACGTTGATCTGATTGGTTACAAGGTGGTTTGTGACGTCAGAAACACCAGCGATCTTTGGTTCACTGCAGTTTTAAGGAGGAAATACTGTATTAATACTGTATTAAAGTGTATTAAACACACCACATAGACACATAAACAACATTAAAAGCTGGATTTTCACCACAGGGGGACTTTAAAGAAACAACACAAAACATAAGAATCCTGATACGGGTTTGAGTAAACGAAGACCACCTTAAACATTTCCAGGAGAGAGCGATATTTAAAGGAAGAGGCCGAGGGACCGCACTGAAACGCTTTTTAATTATTCAATTATCTGAGCGAGGAGGAGCAGAACAGGCCCATCTGCGGATCAGCCCATTCATCATTGATTGGCAGAGACAGACGCGGGATCGGTTTACTCCATTAGCGGGCCGAGGGGAGGAGGACGGCCCGGCCTTCATTGTAAACGAGTTGCACAATTGTGCGATCTGTCACCGAAAGCATTGGAGCCGTGGAGAGAGAGAGGATTCGGATGTCACGGGTAGACCGAACGGTGCCTCGCTCGACCTGCAAAGAACATGGTTATTGTTCCACAGGCAGTGAGGAAACATGCGCTGACCCGTGTGACGAGGAAAACTGAGACTTACAGTGGGTCATATCATGAAGATCTGAAGTTTAAGTGCTATAATCAGTGCTTCTATACCTGTGGAAGCGTGTTTCCGCCACTGGATAAAAAAAATAATAATAATAATTGCGGCTTTTTATCTCACAATTGCGAGATATAAAGTCACAAATCTGAGAAATAAAGTCATAATTGTGAGAAAAAAAGACTTTTATCTTGAAATTCTGACATCTTTTCTCAGAAATGTGAGATATAAATTCGCAATAGTGTGTTTTTCCCCTCAGAATAGTTTATATCTCACAATTATGACTTTACAACACGCAATTTTGACTTTATATTATGCATTTCTTACTTTATAACACGCAATTCTGACTTTATATCTTGCGATTTTGACTTTAAATCAATCAACTTTGACTTTATACTCGCAATTGCGAATTTATTTCACATAATTCTGAATTTATATCTTGCAATTGCAACGTTATATCAACTTTACATCAACTCTGACTTTATATCAATCAATTCTGACTTTATATCTCACAATTCTATTTTATATCAATCAATTCTGACTTTATATCTCGCAATTCTGACTTTATATCAATCAATTCTGACTTTATATCTCACAATTCTGACTTTATATCTCGCAATTCTGACTTTATATCTCGCAATTCTGATTTTATATCAATCAATTCTGACTTTATATCTCGCAATTCTATTTTATATCAATCAATTCTGACTTAATCAATTCTGACTTTATATCTCACAATTCTGACTTTATATCTCGCAATTCTGATTTTATATCAATCAATTCTGACTTTATATCTCGCAATTCTATTTTATATCAATCAATTCTGACTTTATATCTCACAATTCTGATTTTATATCAATCAATTCTGACTTTATATCTCACAATTCTGACTTTATATCTCACAATTCTGACTTTATATCTCGCAATTCTGACTTTATATCTCGCAATTCTGACTTTATATCTCACAATTCTGACTTTATATCTCGCAATTCTGACTTTATATCTCGCAATTCTGATTTTATATCAATCAATTCTGACTTTATATCTCGCAATTCTATTTTATATCAATCAATTCTGACTTTATATCTCACAATTCTGACTTTATATCTCTCAATTTAGATTTTATATCAATCAATTCTGACTTTATATCTCGCAATTCTGACTTTATATCTTTTCTGGGTGTAGGAAGGAATTCTATTGGGTAATTCGGAAGTGGGCGGGTTCACGAAGGTAATCCGACACCGAACGCATGTTTCACAGCAGAATAACTGGCATTGTTTTTCGGAGAAACAAGCATGTGAAATTATAATATGCACACTTATGGTATTTTTCTGCTTTAGCACAATAATAAAATCAAAAATTCATAGAGTTGCTTTGAATTGTTTTTAAATGATTTCTATAGGCCTACATTTAGAGTAAATGATAAGTGTTTTATAAGAAAATACTATTTAAACCGTCATGTTTAATTGCAGTTTCATTTTTTGGACAGATTTCTTTTGGCAAGTAATACTGAATTAAACATTAAATTCTGAAGTAGTATTTTCTTTTGCCTTACTTACAGGTTTGATTAATATAAATGTTAAATGATTTAAACCAAACATCTATGAAAGTGCTGGGATGAAATGAATATTACGCATGTTATGCAAGTGAAAACAGTTTTAAAGCAAATCCTGCATTAAATATGAAGTATATTAACCTGGATTTCCTTGACATTCAGCTCAACTTAAGATCTCTTTATCTCCCAGTTATATGTCTAAAATCACATCTCTTCCCACAAGACAAAGACACAAAGAGCAACATGAAATCATGAAGACTACATTCAGGAACGTTATGAGGAAAAACAACGTTTACCTTCATAATCTTTCATCTAAATGAATTAACTTGCTCCGTCTCTGAACTGAAGAGCATTTCTTTTTCTAGGCCTATTAATCCAAGATATTAATACATGTTAACATGCAATAGACAAATAATTTATCAAACTAACATTAAGGTCAAGCTCCATTCTGAAATATAATGGCCAGTTATACAGATTCAACCAAATACTGATAGATACAAATTAACAAAATCCTCATCAAATAATTAGTTTCACTCAAAAATATATCAGATGACAATGTAAAACCGGTCTCTTTAAATGAGTGAGAGAGAGAAATATTCAATTTGGCTATATATAAAACCCTTTATGTCAAAGAAGTTATAAATAACATGAGAAAACCCTTGAAAGGTTCTTTATATGAAGCGCCTGACTTTAGCCTTTTCTTGCATCTCTATATTGCATGCCAATAATCACACATCTGGAAAAGCATGATAAGAAATCTGACGATAGCGTTAGAAATCCTGTTATTTTTAGTATTTAGAGTTCTTTTGTTCATTTACAAAGAGCAAAGCGATTAAAAACACCCTTCATCTGACTGAAATGATGAGCTCAAAATAACCAAAACTATTGCAGCCTTTTGCATGTGAAGTAAAAGTAAAATTAATCTCCAAAAGTCTCAGAAACACACAGTGATTCTCTCATTAGAGGAGCAACACTGACATCTAGTGGCTGCACACAGACGTTCATCCTGCATTCAAAACAAACAACAACTCAACATCTGTAAAACAAGACTTGAGAAGCATGCAATCATTTACTGATGTTTATGCATTAAAACAAGAAAATCAATGGTTAAAAAAAACAAGTATTTTTCTCTCAGTATTGCTCCAAGCTAATTGATCTTGCTTTAGGTGTGTTTGACAGGAAAACAAGACTGTATCGAGCGCTTTACTAATTAAGACTGCAGATTTGTTGAATATGATGAACATAATCAAGGCAGAGTAAACGATCTGAGATTGATGGGATAATAACAGTCCTTATTCACAGACAGCTCGAACACACACACACACACACACACTGCTGAAACGTGAACACAAACAGAGCCACAGATGTACAGAAATGCTTCAATCACGACAGGAGAGAGAGAAAAGCATTGGCTTATGGGTAACAAAAAACACTGGACTCGAACCTCTCAGACTAATTCAGCAAGTGACCAATGAAACGCTATGAACAGATCCAATTAAACATTTATTATAAACTAAATCAGGTCAAGCATGACGTCTTCATCATTTAAAGTCCCCCTGTGGTGAAAATCCGGCTTTTAATGTTGTTTATGTGTGTATGTGATGTTTTTAGCCAGTGGATCTCTGAGCTGAGTGAGTGAGTGGAGGCGGGGCTCATTTGCATATTCATAGAACCCCGTATACTTAATGAGGCAAGGGTGTCGAGTTTACATTCAAGCTGTCTTTTTGGTGATCAAAGATGAGTTTTAAGGGATAAAATGACTACAGGGGGACTTTAAATTAATATCGCATGTGTATAATATAAATGATAGTGTTATATTCATCTTCCTGATCATCTTGAGTCAGAATTAGGGATGGGCAACGATTAATCACATCCAAAATAAAAGTTTGCGTTTGCATAATATATGTGTGTGTAGTGTGTATAATTAATTTGTATATATAAATACCCACACATGTATGTGTATATTTAAGAAAATGTGTTATTAATATATCAAATATTTATATTAATATATATTATGTACAAATGAAGAGTTTAGATGCAAAAGCCTCTAAATGGCATTTGAAATTTTCTTCTTTAATGATTTTATCAAACTTGTATATTTAAGTTCAGTAATTTCACTTAAATAACAATTAAGAAGTAATCTTCATTGCCATTTAAGTGAAATTACCGAACTTAAATATACAAGTTTGATAAAAATGATCATTCTAGAAGAAAATTTCAAATGGCACTTAAGAGGCTTTTGCATCTGAACTCTTCAAATATATATAAAGTATATACATGCAAATATTTCTTAAATATATACATGCATGTGTGTGTATTTATATATACAAATTAATTATACACACCACACACATGTATTATGTAAACACAAACTTTTATTCTGGATTAATCGTTGCCCATGATCCCTAGTCAGAATAACTCCCTCTTGCAGCGTCTCTTCTCTAATGATGTGGGCGGGGCTATAACCTGTCACTCACATGAGATCAGCCAATAGCAAACCACAACCATCCAATCAATTCCCTACATACACAATCAAGCCCCGCCCACATTTGTTCTCGTTCCAGAAGCGTTTCACTCGATATAAGTGAAAAAAAACAGCGCAAAGCACAAAGCCACTAGTCAACCTTTGACCCCGAGCAATCACTCATGCATTAGGAGTCCGGCGCTCTGAACATGTCATGTGACTCGACGGCACGTACCAGTTTGTTTTCCTGCATGTAGATTCTCTGGAGTTTGTTGCATCCCTGCGCCAGAGCGACCAGTCCGTCGTCACTGATGCTGTAACACTGGCCGAAGTGAACGTCCTTCAGCTCTTTACAGTGTTCGCCCAACTGCACAAAACACACACACACACACACACACACACACACACACAGTCTTTAAATGTTCAAAGCAGCGATATGATTAAATACAGCGGTATAGTTGTATACGGCAAGTCCCCGCTGTGATTTTAAGGTAATATTGCAATTAGACATTCACAAGTTTATGGTCACATGACATGCGGGTAAATATGGAAGAAAATTAAAGGTGAAATATTTTGTTAGTTTACCTATGCAAGTAAAATATGCCTAAATGCATTTCAAACAAAAATGCTTGTTGAATTGCACTAACTGAAAACAAAATGCATTGCATTTTAATAAATTATTAATGCAATGCATCTTTTTTTTTAATTAGTGCAATTCAATAAAATTGGACATTATTTAACCCTCTTTGTACATTTCTGACCGAAAAATTTTCTGTTTTGAATTTTTAAAAATCACAGCTTCATCGCAATGTTACGAAACTTGGTGATTTTTATGGCATTATGTATGTGAACACACAAAAAAATTGAGGTCATGATCTGAGAAGGCTAAGTGGTCTTAAAAAAAGAAGTCACACTTGTGGTCTTCAGTCAAAAATGACCCCCATAGGAAATGAATGGGAAATTGACAACAAAAAAAAAAATGAAAAAAAAATTGTGAATTTTTGTTTTTTTGTCAAATTTTTTAATAAGAAATAGTTTTTGAGATTGTTTCAACTATATATACAAATCCACCAACAACAACAAAAAAAAAGTGTTCATAAACATCTGGGGAATTCACATGCCTCTCCATAGAGAGCTGTACATGCCATCTAGTGGTTACACCATGATTCTACACCTTTTCTCTATACTGTAACCAGATGGTGCTAATTTTCTTCAAAAAAAATTTTTTTTTTCTGAAGGCCTAGTCTCTATATTAAACTAAAATACTGCATTAATATTTTTTTTTGAAAAAAATAATACATATATAGAAATATATATATTTTTCCATGGCAAAAATAAACCATAAATATTGCATAAATATTAATAAATTAAATTAAATTGTCTCAAAATACTAAATTAAAAAGAATAAATATTATAGAACAAAAATAAATTGCATTGGTTTTACTGGGATGGAGAAAGTTTCATTTTTAGGTGTCCGGTCACTTTTGACCGGGAAGATAACAAGTGTGACTCCGAAACGAAGAGCACCTGAGGGTTAACTTCCATAGGTAAACACAAAATATTTCACTTTTTTTTTATCAAGTTATATTTTAATTTATTAAAAATTAATTAATGAGCATCTTGGCAGATTTTTTATGCGACATACCAAAATGTGCGCAAAAATCGGTAGATGGAAACGCAGCTACTGATTATAATAAATGCATGAATGCGTGTTTTTTAATGCATTTTTTATGGGCAACATTCAGGAATTGAGATTAACAAATGAACTTTGGCGGGAAACGCTGTCCAGTCACGAGCCTGTGTTTACTCGCTTTGCTGGGGAAGTAATAGCGAATATTAAAAAGCATTTGGTGAACAGAAAAGACAGTTATTTTGTACATGTTCTGTGTCCTGTATTGATCTGTCCTAAAACATATTTATGATAAAAAAGGCCGTTAAAATCGATTCCCTATTTTCGTTTTGGTCCGATGGATTGCTCTAGTGTGTGTGAGTGCGTCTCACCAGTCTGAGCGCGTGGTCGGTGAGCTTGTCCTGGTTCCCCACGTGCACTTTCTGCAGGAGCGGGCAGTGCACGGCGGCGGCGCACAGGGACACGTCGCTCAGCTGCTTACAGCGGTACGCCGTGTACTTGATCAGCCCGGGACAGTTCGCCGCCAGAGAGCAGACGCCGTGATCCTGAACGTTCCTGCAGTCCGAGATGTTGATCTCGGTGACGTTCTGTCTCCGGGACGCGATCTTCACCAGCAGATCGTCCTTCACCTGCCGTCAGGGAGACCATCAACAGTTAAAACCACAAATCAACACACAGTTTTCCTCCTACAATAATATATCAGACATGCATACAGGTGAAACTCGGAAAAATTAGAATATTGTCACAATTGTAACAAATAAAGGCTTGAAATATCTCACTTTGCATGTAATGAGTCTATATAATATATTAGTTTCAGCTTTTAAGTTGAATTACTGAAATAAATGAACTTTTGCACAATATTCAATTTTTCGAGTTTCACATGTATATAGTCTAAACAACATTTATTCGCCTTCAACATCTCATATTATCACAGTTTATTCACTATAGTCAGAGAGAGAATGAGAGAAACATTAAACAGTTTTAATCTATTATTTCCAATTAAAACCACATATCAAGAGCCTAGCACACACGCAACACTGCAATATTCCCGTTTTTGCATCTAATATTTAATTTTTGTGTGAGTTACGTTCTTACGGTACATGAAAAAGTGTTTGTACAAATGCATATGAGAAGTAATGCTTAAGAAAGGCTGTTTGCCACATAGTTGTTATATGTTTTTTTAATAAAATGATTTGTTATAAAATGTGGTTTTGGTTTAAAATGCATTTTTTAAACAAATCCTGGTTTGTACAGCGGCAAAACATGAACAAAATGTTGTGATTATATACAGTATCAATATAGCTACAAAATAATAATAAGAAGAATGCTATAAAATTACTAAGTGTATTGTATAATAACAATTCTAATATTTAATGTAAAATAATAAACAGTGAAATCTTGCGCTAGTAATATTTCTTATGTTTTAGCAATTTTATATTAATATGATAATATGATATTAATCACTTTTTTATATATTAATAATTTTCATTATAAAAATGGCTATATATTGTATATAAATATGAAATTACAACTGTAAAATAAAGCCATGTAACATAATATCAATATGATAATATAATATTAATAATAAAATAATAAAAATTGTATTATACAAATTACTGAATAAAACATTTTATATACTGTGTATATATATATATATATATATATATATATATATATATATAAAAGAAATATTACTAAAATCCTGTTAAATAATATTAATATTAAAATATTAAAAATAATATTATAATAATAATTTTTATTATAAAAGTTACTAAATAAAACTTAATATATATATATATATATATATATATATACTGTATATATATACTAAATATTACTATAGTAAAATTAAACCCTATAAAATAAAAAATAGAGTAATTAAGAAAAATAATTATTTTATTTTACAACTGTCTTAATTTCTTCATAACATTTTAACATTAAAAAGTGAACGCATGGGACACTTAAATCTTGATAATTTTGAAAATCACTTATCAATTCAAGTATAATAATTATGCACACCTCACCTATAGATATATTATTAAGCAATTTTATATTAATATGATAATATTATGAAAATAAGAAATATTACTATTGAAAAATAAAACCCTGTAAAATAAAATAAAAAAAATTAATGCATGAGGACATTAAAGCTTTTTTTTTGATAATCACTTCTTAATTCAAGTATAATAGTCCAGCACACCTATGAGTAACGCAGTTCTACACACAAGCAGAAGAGAACCGCACAAACCTGCTGGAGGCCGCTGAGGTCGATCTGCTTCCAGAACTGGAAGTCTAAGCAGAGATCACGCCAGTATTTACACACCAGAGACACACCGAGACAGCGCTCCTTCACCGACAGGTGCGAGAACACCTGAGGACACATCACACATCATCCGTCACACAACCACAGTTACAGTGTCATTCATTAAACAACAGTCAGAGGATTCCAGTCGCAGGTTTGATATGAAGCTCTATGTGCACAGCATTCTCAATGTTACGCTGCTTATTACATTTCTAGATGCACTTTTATGATGGACAGATGCACTTTTATGATGGACAGATGCACTTTTATGATGATAGATGCACTTTTATGATGGACAGATGCACTTTTATGATGGACAGATGCACTTTTATGATGATAGATGCACTTTTATGATGGACAGATGCACTTTTATGATGGATAGATGCACTTTTATGATGGACAGATGCGCTTTTATGATGAATAGATGCGCTTTTATGATGGACAGATGCACTTTTATGATGGACAGATGCACTTTTATGATGGACAGATGCACTTTTATGATGGATAGATGCACTTTTATGATGGACAGATGCACTTTTATGATGGATAGATGCACTTTTATGATGGGTAGATGAACTTTTATGATGGACAGATGCTCTTTTATGATGGACAGATGCACTTTTATGATGGACAGATGCACTTTTATGATGGACAGATGCTCTTTTATGATGGACAGATGCACTTTTATGATGGACAGATGCACTTTTATGATGGACAGATGCACTTTTATGATGGATAGATGCACTTTTATGATGGACAGATGCACTTTTATGATGGATAGATGCACTTTTATGATGGATAGATGCACTTTTATGATGGATAGATGAACTTTTATGATGGACAGATGCTCTTTTATGATGGACAGATGCACTTTTATGATGGACAGATGCACTTTTATGATGGATAGATGCACTTTTATGATGGACAGATGCGCTTTTATGATGAATAGATGCGCTTTTATGATGGACAGATGCACTTTTATGATGAATAGATGCACTTTTATGATGGACAGATGCACTTTTATGATGGACAGATGCACTTTTATGATGGACAGATGCACTTTTATGATGGACAGATGCACTTTTATGATGGATAGATGCACTTTTATGATGGACAGATGCACTTTTATGATGGACAGATGCACTTTTATGATGGACAGATGCTCTTTTATGATGGACAGATGCACTTTTATGATGGACAGATGCACTTTTATGATGGACAGATGCACTTTTATGATGGATAGATGCACTTTTATGATGGACAGATGCACTTTTATGATGGATAGATGCACTTTTATGATGGATAGATGCACTTTTATGATGGATAGATGAACTTTTATGATGGACAGATGCTCTTTTATGATGGACAGATGCACTTTTATGATGGACAGATGCACTTTTATGATGGATAGATGCACTTTTATGATGGACAGATGCGCTTTTATGATGAATAGATGCGCTTTTATGATGGACAGATGCACTTTTATGATGAATAGATGCACTTTTATGATGGACAGATGCACTTTTATGATGGACAGATGCACTTTTATGATGGACAGATGCACTTTTATGATGGACAGATGCACTTTTATGATGGATAGATGCACTTTTATGATGGACAGATGCACTTTTATGATGGATAGATGCACTTTTATGATGGATGCACTTTTATGATGATAGATGCACTTTTATGATGGACAGATGCACTTTTATGATGGATAGATGCACTTTTATGATGGACAGATGCGCTTTTATGATGAATAGATGCGCTTTTATGATGGATAGATGCACTTTTATGATGGATAGATGAACTTTTATGATGGACAGATGCTCTTTTATGATGGACAGATGCACTTTTATGATGGACAGATGCACTTTTATGATGGATAGATGCACTTTTATGATGGACAGATACACATTTATGATGGATAGATGAACTTTTATGATGGACAGATGCACTTTTATGATGGACAGATGCACTTTTATGATGGACAGATGCACTTTTATGATGGATAGATGCACTTTTATGATGGACAGATGCACTTTTATGATGGATAGATGCACTTTTATGATGGACAGATACACATTTATGATGGATAGATGCACTTTTACACAGACCTTGAGCAGTATGGAGGAGGGCAGCTGGTTAACGTGTGACGTGTCTGTGTTCTCAGCGCTCTTTCCCTCCTCCGATCCCTCGTTCTGGGACAGCTGGCAGGAGCATGAGGACGAGGCGTCGGCGGCCCCGCTAGCATCTGTACGCCACGCCACACCGGACCCGTCCGAAGGAGAAGAAGAAGAATTAGAAGAGGACGGGCGAAGCAAACACTGGCTCTCGGGAGCCCCGGCGTCTCCTCGCTCCTCGTTCTCCATGGGCTCCTGGAAGGCACAGCGCGGCTGCTTGCGGGGCGAACACCGCTGCAGATCAGCACACTTGCGCTTGCACACCATTTCCGAATAGTCCACGCAGAAGAGCGCCGGGGGCCCGATTAGCTTGGCGGACAGCAGACCCCGACCCTGGCCTTCCCAGATGCCCAGCTCTCCCGGAGACAGGAGGAACGCGGCGCACTCCTCGGGCGAGTTCAGGGACACGTAGCGCTCGGCGAGTTTGGCCGCCTCGAAGGGCCAGTCGTCCTCGATGCTCGCGCTGGGGCCGTGGACGATGAAGCACAGCATGCAGGGACCCTGAAGGAAGCAGTTCCTCCGCCGCTTCTTCTTGCGCAGCTTCCGTGTTTTCTTCTTCAGGCTGTAACCATTTTTGGAGAAAAGATGGCCCATATAGATGATGATGATTCACGTCGATCAACTCTAGATTCAACAGAGAGAGAGAGAAATTACACGTCAATCAAGTCTAAATTCAAGAGAGAGAGAGAAATCACAGGTCGATCGAGTCTAAATTCAGGAGAGAGAGAGAAATTACAGGTCGATCGAGTCTAAATTCAAGAGAGAGAGAGAAATTACAGGTCGATCGAGTCTAAATTCAAGAGAGAGAGAGAGAAATTACAGGTCGATCGAGTCTAAATTCAGGAGAGAGAGAGAAATTACAGGTCGATCGAGTCTAAATTCATGAGAGAGAGAGAAATTACAGGTCGATCGAGTCTAAATTCAGGAGAGAGAGAGAAATTACAGGTCGATCGAGTCTAAATTCATGAGAGAGAGAGAAATTACAGGTCGATCGAGTCTAAATTCATGAGAGAGAGAGAAATTACAGGTCGATCGAGTCTAAATTCAGGAGAGAGAGAGAAATTACAGGTCGATCGAGTCTAAATTCATGAGAGAGAGAGAAATTACAGGTCGATCGAGTCTAAATTCAAGAGAGAGAGAGAAATTACAGGTCGATCGAGTCTAAATTCAAGAGAGAGAAATTACAGGTCGATCGAGTCTAAATTCAGGAGAGAGAGAGAAATTACAGGTCGATCGAGTCTAAATTCAGGAGAGAGAGAGAAATTACAGGTCGATCGAGTCTAAATTCAAGAGAGAGAAATTACAGGTCGATCGAGTCTAAATTCAGGAGAGAGAGAGAAATTACAGGTCGATCGAGTCTAAATTCAGGAGAGAGAGAGAAATTACAGGTCGATCGAGTCTAAATTCAAGAGAGAGAAATTACAGGTCGATCGAGTCTAAATTCAAGAGAGAGAGAGAAATTACAGGTCGATCGAGTCTAAATTCAAGAGAGAGAGAGAAATTACAGGTCGATCGAGTCTAAATTCAGGAGAGAGAGAGAAATTACAGGTCGATCGAGTCTAAATTCATGAGAGAGAGAGAAATTACAGGTCGATCGAGTCTAAATTCAAGAGAGAGAGAGAAATTACAGGTCGATCGAGTCTAAATTCAGGAGAGAGAGAGAAATTACAGGTCGATCAACTCTAAATTTATCTCGAAAGCTGCTTTGTAATAAAATTTATTTTGGCCAATTTTTTTTTTTGGACTTTCATGGTTATTCTGTATTTTCGCTAAAGCATAATAACTATAATGTGAGAATTGAACTTGCTTCATAATTGATTGACATTTATTATCTTCTGTAGAGCTGCTTTACAGCTGAATTGAACTCAATTCATAATTGATTTAGTAACATTTGAGTTTATTGCCATATCAGCATCACCGGCTATTATTACACGGCAGGTACACCTTAAACATTTAACAACATATCATAAGCACAACATAAAATACAATCAATGAAATCAAATATATAAAAGCACTACAAGTGACTTGACTCATTAATCAAGTCAAATGCCAGTGGCTTGAAAAGTAAAATATTTATTTACACCATTTTTTTCTGACTTTCTTGGGTCTGCTGTATTTTGCAAAAGCATAATAACTATAATGTGAGAGGATATGAATGACAGAATTTTCTCATAATTATGACTAGAGTTGAACATTGAATTATGAAAAAACAGTGCATTGATCAGCAGCACTTGTCAACTTCTGACTCAATCAGTGGCTTATGTCTTTGAGCGACCAATAACAGACAGGAGGAGTGTTTGGGGAAACATGTTTGACAACAGTCATTTTTACAACTCAAAAAAGAGAAAAATTGACAATTTCATTATTGCTTCCAAACTAGATCAGTGATGCTTCCTCAATCAGATTTCTGCAGTTCGCATTTACCTCAGAACTAAATAAACACTGAAAATAAGATTTTGACTCTTACATTTATACAAAGTCTCATCAAAGTAATGTTTATGTCTGTTGCAATGAAAATCGTTTCAAACACATTTTTCAGAGTTGCACTAGACACAGAAACAAGGATACACACACTGAAGTCACTGAATACCTTGCAAACACACAGATGAGGAAGAGGAAGGTCAATGCTTTACGAGTCTCTCCATTTAATATTGTTTTATAGACACAATACCAAGATGATAGTACCATTGGGTTTTTACCAAATGTAAATACCCTGAACACCAGTGTCATCTACCATAACCAAGTACTTTTTGTATGGATAATGAATGAATATATAGACCAGCATATTTTCAGATATCTGGTTGGTATAATGTGTGTTATGTCTCAGCAGGGACGATATAAACATTCCCAAATGAATGTCACTGTTTACACACGGCTGTGTGGAGCTGCTGACCGAGTGTTGTTGTGTTTCATTGAGTGATAGTGGCGGACGACGCCATTGAACTCCCTCATGAGAAAACAACCAAGACTGAATAACTGCCATAATAAAACGCGCCAAACCTCACCAGCTCGCGCGACCCTCAGCACCTTCTTCCCGCGCTCTCATAATCCGCGCGAAACAGAAACCGAAGCGTAGCGAACGCACCGCAAACGCGCGCTTGCTGTGTCAACCTGCTAGAATGTTTTAAAACACTTCCGGATTTCAAATAACAGAGGAAATCCCGCCCACAGCTCGAGATGAGAGAGGCTGTTCATTCGCCAGGCGAAACGTCAGTTAGAAGCGGAGGGCCAATCATCATCCGTGCTTTAAAGGGAACTCGTTTAATACAAACGTAACACTTGCAAACTTGCGAATGAACACTTGATGTAAATATTTGTACTGATGGATTCGATATCATGTTATTTTTTTAGTAATAATATCAACATGAAAGTAAGCTTTCGCAAACAGGTTTTTCTCATCTTTCCATTTCCTCCACATAATGTCTTTCTTTTGTAACATATTATATTATAAATGTATTTACTGTAACTTTTGATCAATGTAATGCACCTTTGCTGAATAAAAGCATTAACCCTCTACTGCATGCATTTTGATGGCACGTGGTGGATAAAAATTATTCCACATCATTTCTTGGCTCATTTGGGAACATTTTATTAATTTATTGAAAAATTTCCCTTCCCTGAACAAAACAAAAATCAAAATTTTTTTCCAAAAATGTCAAGAAATAATTTAAGCAAAAAAGCGAAAAACACTTGAACATTATCGATATATTTTATTTGATACAGACATAGGTTTGTATCATGTAGTGCGTTGTCATATTGTGTACTTTATGTATCCCCATATAATCTATAGTAGGGCTGTGCAAAAATTTATTGCGATTAATCGCATCCAAAATAAAAGTCTGTGTTTACATAATATATTTGTGTGTGCTGTATATAATTATTTTGTATATATAAATACCTATGCATGCATGTATATATTTAAGAATTATTTGCGCTTAAATTGTGTATATATAAATAAATACATAATCTATATTATATAAATATTTTATATATGAATAACACATTTTCTTAAATATATACATGCATGTGTGTGTATTTATATATACAAATTACAAAATAATTATATCCAGCGCACACAAATATATTATGTAAACACAGACTTTTATTTTGGATGCGATTAATCGCAATTAATTTTTGCACAGCCCTACTATATAGTCAAAAGTATTGGGACACCCCTCCAAATCATTGAATTAAGTCGGTCAAATCAGAACTGATCTGAAATCTGATGAGAAATCCATAAAAAGCATTCTGACATGAGCATTTGTTTGATCTAAATGATGTTGGGCCTTATGTAATAAGGTTAGGGAGGCATCAGTGGTGCTCCAATTGGGCATGTCAGCAAATTGTAGAGGGTCAACAGAATCCTTAATTTGCGCCGACAGTTCCTTACTCAATATACACTCCAAACACATGCACAAAACAGATGTAAGGGCATTTGTACATAGGTCTTTAGGATCTCTTGCATAAGGAGTTTTAGGTAATGGGATAACAGTGGTGTTTTTCCATGCTCGTGGCACAAAACAATCATCTAAAAAGATCTGGAACATCCTACATGCCCAAGTTGTTCTGCACACTCTTTCAGAACAAAACCCCTGAGGCCATCTGGACCAGTAGCCTTATTAGGTTTAATTCAAACCATTTTACTGTAGCATTTTGGAGATAAGACCTAATTTGAAACAAGACACATTATGGAGGTTAGCGGGACGAATTTTATAGTTGCCATATCAACACTATAGAATTTTAGATATATTGAAGATATTACTGAACATTTATTTAACCATAGCAAAAGTAAGTTTCTTGTGTTAATTTTAGACAAGTCTGATATTGCATATGTTGTGTTGCATTTTTCAAATAAGCGAGTAGGGAATTAGTTCGGCTCATTTTTTAGGGAGTAACAACACAATAATAAAGTAACTTTCCCCAACACTGAACCAGAAATAATGTCATAAATGAATGCATATGGGCGGGTGTCCTTTATCTGTACATGATCCAGCAGGAATGGGCGTGGCGGACAAACTTCCCTAAAAATGGCTCCCGTTCTCCCGATAACTCGACAGGGTCAGATCGCTCGTGCTGGACAACAGGAGAACCGCACACGGGATCCACACGATCTGTGTGTGTCTGCTGTCAGCGACTGCTGGATTTATGATCGACACGGTGTGTGTAAAACCTTCAACAGTTTGCATCAACACAGCAAAGCTATCATCGTTTTCGTGCGGGTGAGACACTCATGACAGCTGGTGTGTGTGTGTGTTTATGTTCATTGTGTGTGCAAATGTCATTCTGATTGTGCTTCTCAAAAATGTTGCAGAACTTCTTGTGTTACACATGCAAAGAATACGTGGAGGATTTGGGGAAAATACCTCGGCACATGTTGCAGGTCAGGAAGATTACAGCACTTCTGCTTTGGTTTGATCAATTATGTGTCAATAATCATATATTTATGGTCAGAATATAATGGTAACACTTTACAATAAGGTTTATTAGGTAACTACCTGTCCTTGGTTAACATGAACTAAGAATGCACAATACTTTTATAGCATTTATTAGATCAATTTCAACATTAGTAATACGTTATTAAAATTAAAGGTTGTATTTGTTTACATTAGATAATGCACTGTCAACAAACATGAACAGCTGGATTAACTAACATTAACATGATTAATAAATACTGTAACAAATCTATTGTTAATTAATTAATTAATTAACTAATGAACCTTATTGTAAACTACTGTATGTGTCTTTTCTCTCCTGCAACAAATGTAGGAATCGAATGTTAGATTGGTAGTCATTGGACAGTCGTCGTATTCTCATATCGAGGTAGGATGTGTTTATTAATGTTAAGCTACCAATATAAGCGACTTTTTGAAAATTCTGTTTTTGAAAATAATTTATAAATTCATAAATATAACATGCAACAGTGTGTCAAGTAGTTTTGATTACATAACACCTTTAATAGTCATCAAAACCAATGCATCAGTTTGGTTTACAACACCCTTGTTTTAGTTTTTTATGATCACAAAATCGTTACACTTTAAAACTGATAAATATCTGTGAATCTCTTTATGTTGTAGGGGTTCTGCTCTCTGACAGGCTATCCTCATGAGATATATGTTGATCCAGAGAGACAGATTTATAAAAAACTTGGAATGAGAAGAGGAGAGACGTACATGGAGACGCGTAAGATCCACCGACGCTTGATTTTAGAGGGGATTTCACTAACATATTTCAGTTTTTATACATAACATGCCTTTTTTCAATTCTCTAATGCACATTTTGTACATTTCCCCTGCTTTCTATTAGATTAGCATGCCAAAGAAAGATTGGTTTGATCAAATGTGCATTTATTGTAATCAGTAGGTGTGTTTCCATCTACCCATTTGTATGCATGTGTTTGGTGCATTTAAAAAAGAAGAAGAAAAAGTGCATTAAAAAAACTTCTTGAGGTGGATTATTGTTTTATCCGATAAGAAGACATGCAGATAAACTATGATGGAAACACATTTACTAAATAAATGCATCAAAAACCTCAGCTGTGATTGGATAAGTGGAGTAACCAGCGGACCAATGGCATCGTAGCGTCGCTGGGGTCGAAGTGTGTGATAAGAATGATTTTACTGAGACCAACTCATTTATGATGGAGTGAAAAAGATAAATTAATGCATTCATTCATTCATACATGCATGCATGTACATATATACATAAATAAATACAAACATGCAAGCACAAAATAAAAAATAAAAATTGATACAGATACAGTGTTTTACACCAATTTCCCATGAAGTGATGATTTTGTTCTCTTGAACAGATGGAATGGAAACGCTGCTTTATTCACAAATCTTTTATGCATTTTTTCAATTATGTGCATAGGTTAAATTAGCAAATTTGAATGGAAACCAAGCTATCTTCATCTGCATTTGTAGCTTCCAACAGTCCACATGTGAAGTCCAGTCCACTGATTGGCAGTCTGAGAAGTATGTGGCGCGCCATGACCAGCCCCGCTTTTGACTTTCAAGGAGATCCGCTGCAGCAAGGTGGAGCCCTTATTGTAGGCCCAGGTGATGAGTTTTCTAAATAAATGCTGTCATTTCTATATCTTCTTCACCATATCTTAATATTAATATTTATTGTTTTATTTCACAGGTCCAGAGGTTCATTTTGCCCATTTTGACATGAATCGGTTAGACCACATGCCGATCAACTGGTTGCTTCAGTTAGCAGGTCTTCACACATTGGACTTCAGTGATGGCCCGAAAATCATTGATATCTAAAAAAAAAACCAAAAATCATGATAGATCTGCACTGTTATAATATAACAGCTCAATATCGTTGTATAATATTGTTTTTATATTATATGTATGTTGGATAGGAACAAGCCATTTCACTGCTGAGGATCATTGATTTTATCTCTGTCCTAAATTACAATTTGTTTTATATTGTCTTGAATTTCAATAAATAAATAAATAATATACTTTATATGCGTGCTAGTAAAGCTTTATTTTATTTTAATAGCAGTGCTTTACAGAAGAGAAATTCACAGAAAAAATATGTATCACACATGTAGAAATAAGATAATAAAATACCAGTTTTCATGTTTGAAAGTATGCATGCATGTATGTATGTATGTATGAATGCATGCATGTATGTATGTTTGAATGCATGCATGTATGAATGAAAGCATTCATGTATGGATGAATGCATGCATACATGTATGAATGCATGTGTGTGTGTGTGTGTGTTTGTTTGAATGTATGCATGTATGTATGAATGCACGTATTTTATGAATGTATGTATGAATGCATGCATGTATGTTTGAATGCAGGCATGCATTTATGAATGCATGCATTTATGTATGTTTGAATGCATGCATGTATGAATGAATGAATGAATGCATGCATGTATGGATGAATGCATGCATACATGTATGAATGTGTGTGTGTGTGTGTGTGTGTGTGTGTGTGTGTGTGTGTGTGTGTGTGTGTGTGTTTGAATGCATGCATGTATGTATGAATGCAGGTATTTTATGAATGTATGTATGAATGCATGCATGTATGTTTGAATGCAGGCATGCATTTATGAATGCATGCATTTATGTATGGATGCATGTATGAATGCATGCATGCATGTACTGTATGTATGAATGCATGCATGCATGTATGTTTGAATGCATGCATGTATGAATGAATGCATGCATGTATGGATGAATGCATGCATACATGTATGAATGCATGTGTGTGTGTGTGTGTGTGTGTGTGTGTGTGTGTGTGTGTGTGTGTGTGTGTGTGTGTGTGTGTGTGTTTGAATGCATGCATGTATGTATGAATGCAGGTATTTTATGTATGAATGCATGCATTAATCTATAAATGCATGCATGAATGTATGCATAAGCAGCTATACATCTATTCTTTCACTATCTACATGCATGTATCTATTTACATTTAAATCCAGATCCATATATGTCCAGTTTAAGTTTCATCTCCAAACTCTAAAGATAAGAAATAAGACATTTGACAAAGAAAAGCTATCTGTCAGTGTCCCAGTAAGGGTTTCTAATGCTCTTTCCCCCCTATCACATCACATTTTAGTAATCATCATAAATTAGGCATCATTCGGACGCGTTACATTACATTTTAGCGTTTCAATTTTTGCACTATCAACTTTGGATTAGGAACACAACTTGTTTAGACATATGGCTTTCGTTTTCTAACAATTTTAGGATAAAACTAATTTTATATATATATGAGAATGAAATGAAATCATACAAACAATCCTAAAACCTAACGTTAGTGTCTTGTTTCGTGACGGGTTAAAGTTCTGTCAGTGCCCGTATGTTGAGTAGTATGAAGCTGCAGACTCGGAGACCTGCATCTAGAGTCCCCCTGCACCTAGAGTCCCGCATTCTCAGACCCCTCGTTTTTCGAGACAGCGCCTCCTATCAAATTGTATCGGATAACATGTGAAGAACTTAAGCCAAAAAGTGAGTAGGCTACCTATCTTCAATTTTATTTAGCGAATCGTAGTAGCCTCGTTTGATTTATTTTTTTATAAAACTAATTTAGCTCGTCGATACAACATTATGAATAGTCCATTTAATATTTGTAAAGATAGTTTGTAACAAGATTTGAGCCGTTAATGTATGTTTTTTTCACCCTCTTCCCCCCGAAAATATTTTGATGGCTAGCGTTAGCCTTTATCCTTGGACTTTTTGTAGATATGTCATAAGTGCTGCAGTTATTTTCACTGGCCATTTGTGCCCCCATATATTTCAAACCCACAAAGTTGTCCAAAGTTCAAAAACATCTCAAGGGACATTTCAACAGAGCAATGTAACATTTGCAAACAACTTTTTTCTTTTTCTTTTCTTTCTTTCTTTTTTTTTTTTTTTGTTGAAACATCATAAGACATGTGCTATCGGGCCTATACTGTTGTAGGTTATTCCAGGGTACACCATCAATCGATGGAGTTACCCCTAACCCAGCAACATATCATTTTATGATTATGCAAAGCGACTTGAGTTTTTTTAATGCAATGGAAGACGAAAAGTAGTCACGAACACAGTTTTTTCTTCCTTTTTTCTTTACAGCAAGATGATGTTTAGGTATTAGGTATTAAATAAAGTACAGAATTGTTTATTATTGGTGTTTTGTCTATTCTGATTTGTTTTGCTTCGCATTCAAAATATCATAAAACAGATTTTGTAATGTTAGCATCATAATGTTAATTAGACTATTATAGGTTGAACTGAAAGAAAAATTGGAATTTGAATAAAACAAATATAAAAAAACATTGTAGCAATATAATATCGTATACTATTTTTCAGAAGATAGATCTGTAATTGTATCCTTCCATCTGTTACAATGAGTTTTTTTTTTTTGGCACATGCATTAAGCAGGTAACGCAAATATTTATTGGATAATTTATTTGGAGACTGTTAATATTGCATCCTGTTGTTTTTTAATTGCATTTGGATAACCGTACGCTGGACTCTGTGTGCGGGTGTTATTCGATCTGTTGAACAGCAGGAGGCGCTGTGTTCGAAAAACGAGGGGTCTGAGAATGCGGGACTCTCGGTGGGGGACTGTAGATGCAGGCTCCGAGTCTGCAGCTTCATAATATTGCGTATGTTGGGAAGCAGGATGGATGGTGGCGCAGTGACGTCACTCGCAAGGCTTTTAGAAACTTGCCTTCCATACGTCACTCGCAGGACAACTGGCTCAAATATGCTTCGGTCTGCAGCGCATGGAGCTGTTACAAGCTGGACTATGCAAAATAACGCACTTTCATCGCACATTCCCGTTTGAAACGCCATCTTTCCATGCCTAGAGAAGTATGAAGCGCAAGAGCGAGCGACGGAGCGAGTCGAGGAAAAGACTCTGCGCTTCTCTGAGCGGCCAGACGGAGTCCAAGAGCGAGATTTACGTTCATATCACAGGTAAACAAACCACAGACGCTGCCATGATGATCTCATAAAGTAGAACCAACATCGGGGTCATAAAGTAGTGTGTTATAATTCCTGTCAGGGGTTAATTTGGAGGTTTATATGGAGATTAAAACTGGTTAAATATGAGAGTAATTAAAACGTCACTATTAACTTGGCTGAATGATCTTCTTTGTTCTATTCGCTGAATGTAAATCACTGAAAATTAGTGTAATAAATATTCAATCACAGCGAAAAAAAGAAAGAAATCTTATTGGCCAATCGACCATTCTCTCCTAGCAACGGCTCGGGCAGCGTTCCAATCAGAGTCGCTGCTGTTTAGTTTAAATTCTGTGAAGGGAGGGGCCTAATATGATTGACGTGTCAGTGGTACGCCCGTGAACCAATCAGGGACCGGAAAAGTTTTTTTAATCTGCATAAGTTATAGATTATTCAACAAATGTGCCCACAATTAATTTTTTTTGTTTTACGTTACAGTCATGAAAATGAGGGGAAATGTGTTTTTAAACAAAGAAACGCTATACGGACAATCAAAATAGTTTCTTTTGACCAACCCCTGAGGGCTCTACCGTTTAAATTCTGAGAGGAGGGGCCTAGTTGTGATTGACGTGTCAGCGGTGCGATTGTGAGCCAATCAGGTGTTGAAAAAGATGATGGAAAAAGATTTTAACTTGGCTTTAAACGGCACTGAACTTTAATCGGACTTCAGGAGCAAGAGAGAAAGATCGCTAGTGCTGGTTAACGTTATTTACATCTATAAAGAGTCAAAGCGGATCAGTTGTATCGTTTTAAATTCAAGTTCAACGCGTAAACTTTTAAGTATTTTTACTTTCTTGTCGCATAATTCTCTATGACACACTCGAAGTGTCGACGGAAATTTGGCTATTTTTGTTGTATGTGTAATTTGTAGTGTGGATTTAGATTAAACTAACGTTAAACCAAGATTAAAATTAAAATGTACCGGAACAACGTTTTCATAGAAACCTGCGATCTGTCAAACTGCATCGAAGTCATTAAAGGTGATACTCGTATTTCTTTTGTTTTTAAATGGCCTTTTAGTTTTGTGGTCCGGATCAGTCTGTGTTTGTCTTTTAACTCACTTCCGGGATGCAGATTCAAATCTCTCGGACCAATAGATGCAGTCAGATGTGTTTACATTAATATACCGCGTGGAGAAATGCATCGGTTGTGAGAGATTACAGAATAGTTTGGTTTCCTTCATCATGTGCACTTTGTGTCTTTCAGATCAGCTGTATTTTGCTCTTCTTCCTCAGAAGGTGAAGAGCTCTCCTGACAGACACTGTTTCTGCATAGATGAAGAGCTCTCCTATGAGAAGTAAGAGAGGTTTACCTTTAAAACGCAGTCTATGGCTCATTAGGGACATTCTAATACACGTAATGCTACATTATCATATTTAATAAGTGATAAGGCCTCTTACATGATCAAAATCATTGCACACACAATCTGCTCATGGTCTTTTTGCCGAGTATCAAATATGATCGTCAGGCCGTTGAGGAAGGTTTATCTCTATTTATCTTTATTGCATTATATGTTTTAAAACTACAGAGCTTTGATTATTTAACTAAGCATTTAAATATAATCTTGCTAAGACATACTATTTACAGATATTTATATGCATTTTATGAAAGTATCTGCTGTAGATATTTTTGTTCAGTTTGAATAAAATTAAGCTGTTTTTTCCTCCATATTCTCACTATATTGTACAATGAGCCATTTTTAAAAAGATTTTGTAAACTTATGTATGCATGACTAAATTTATGCATATATATATATATATATATATATATATATATATATATATATATATATATATATATATGAATAAATGCATTAATACAATTATGCACATTGCAAAATTTAAATAAGTTTAGAAATATATGCATGTACAGATGAAACTCGAAAAATTATAATATGGTGCAAAAGTTCATTTATTTCAGTGATTCAACTTAAAAGGTGAAACTAATATATTAAATAGACCCATTACATGCAAATGAGATATTTCAAGCCTTTATTTGTTATAATTGTGATTATGGATTACAGATATGAAAACCTTTTCACAAAATTCTAATTTTGAATTTCATATCTGTAAGCCATAATCATTAAAATTATAACAAATAAAGGCTTGAAATATCTCACTTTGCATGCTTGTTTTAAGTTGAATTACTGAAATAAATGAACTTTTGCACCATATTGTAATTTTTCGAGTTTCACCTGTATATAGATGCATTAATGCATGTGTATGTATTTATTCATGCATGCATGTATTACAACAATGGAAAGAAAAACTCACACTATCCCATAATCAAGCCTCTTTTTTTTTTTTTGCGTTTCTCAGCGTCAGAATAGCCTGTATAGTTTCGAGTGCATTGCACCAGATGTTTATCATTGACCTCTTTGATTGTTATATTTGAACAGCTTCTATGCAGACTTTGGCCCGCTCAACCTCGCCATGTTTTATCGCTTCTGTTGCAAGCTCAACAAGAAGCTGAAGGTAATGACTGGCACATAAAATGCAACGTTGCACTGTTCTACTAAACACACTCTTTCATGTTTGAATCATTTCAAAGATTTGCTTTTGAATGTGTGCTTTTCTAATCCAACAGTCTTGTGTTCATGCAAAGAAGAAAATTGTGTTTTATACCTGTGGGGACCGAAAGAAACAAGCCAATGCTGCGTATTTGATCGGCTCTTATGCTGTGAGTTTCACAGTCCAACTTTATATTTACTGTTTATTTTTGCCTTTCAGGCAAATGCAATCTGATGAAATGCTCAAACATTATTTATAACACGTAAACTGTGCTTGTAGTTCTGCCAGATGTTGAAGGCTCACTGTTGTTGTTTAGGTAATGCATCTACAGAAAACACCAGAAGAAGCATACAGCCTTCTTGTCTCTCAAAATGCATCGTATCTTCCTTTTCGGTAATAATTGAAATTTACCCCCTACATTATTCAAGAAAATGCATATTATTATGAGGTATCAAAGTGTTCTGGCACAACAAGGCCTCGTTTACACTGCAGGTCTTGATGCCCAATTCAGATTTTTTCAATTGTGACCCAGATCCGATTCATGTGTTTACATGTGATGTGACATATAGGCCTAATATCTGAAACATCGAGTAGTTCACTTAAAAAAAAAACTTTTGCTGATAATTTACTCGCCCCCGTGTCATCCAAGATGTCCACGTCTTTCTTTCTTCAGTCGAAAAGAAATGAAGGTTTTTGATGAAAACAGTCCAGGATTTTCTCCATATAATGGACTTCAATGGGGTCCAAACGGTCCAAGGTCCAAATGAGAGTTTCAGTGCAGCTTCAAAGGGCTTTAAACGATTCCAGACGATGAATAAGGGTCTTATCAAGCGAAACGATTGGCCATTTCAAAAATAAATAAAGTTTAAATTTTATAAGCACAAATGCTCGCCTTGTTCTGTGATGAGCGTTCGTGACTCTCCTGTTCGAACTCGTTCATCAAAACGAACAAATCTTTTTTCGAGTCATGACTCGAAGAGACCCTTATTCATCGTCTGGAATCGTTTGAAGCTGCACTGAAACTCTCATTTGGACCCCATTGAAGTCCATTATATGGAGAAAATCCTGGAATGTTTTCATCAAAAACCTTCATTTCTTTTCCACTGAAGAAAGAAAGACGTGGACATCTTGGATGACATGGGGGCGAGTAAATTATCAGAAAAAGTTTTTTTAAAAGTGAACTACTCCTTTAAAGGACGTTCTTGCTCAGATGAACGTGAAATATGCTTGATGCTAGCTTTGTGATATATACGAAGTTCTGCCTGTTTACATAAGTCGAATCTGATTTATTTCCACATACGAACGAGGCCTGAAACCGATCTTAAAATATCCGAATGCATGCTTTTTTTTGTGCTGTTTACATTGTTGCGATCTATGTCACATATGAGCAAAAAAATCAGATTTGGTTCACATTTCACTGACAGTGTAAACAAGGCCCAAGTTGCATGTGGACCTCAGGAGAAATGTAAAAAGCAGTAGTAATAGTAAATCTTGTTAATCTCTGACTTAATTTTCCGTTCCATTCAACAGAGACGCGTCTTTTGGAACTTGCATGTACAATCTGAATATTCTTGACTGTCTACTTGGCGTTCACAAGGTAATCCAGATCCTGCAGCTTCATCAGACATGCTCACTATTCCTGCTGACCGCATGCGTTGTGTTTCAGGCTCTGCAGTTCGGCTGGCTGGATTTCTCCCAGTTTAATGTGGAGGAATATGAGCATTATGAGGTGAGTTTCCACTGATGTAAAAGAGTAAAGTTTAATCTCACATTTTACATTTGATGCGTCTTTAAAGGGAAGTTCAAGAACAAATGTGGGCGGGGCTTGATTTTGTATGTGGGAAATTGATTGGATGGTTACATGATCTCAAGTGAGTGACAGGTTATAGCCCCGCCCACATCATCAGAGAAGAGAAGAGATGCTGCAAGAGGAACTGATTCTGATTACAGTGCAAAAAAAGAACAATTGAAGAGTTCAGATGCAAAAGCCTCTAAATGCCATTTGAAATTTTCTTCTTTAATGATGATTTTTATCAAACTTGTATATTTAAGTTCAGTAATTTCACTTAAATAACAATTAATAGGTAATTATCATCGCCATTTATGTGAAATTACTGAACTTAAATATACAAGTTTGATAAAAATCATCATTAAAGAAGACAATTTCAAATGGCATTTAGAGGCTTTTGCATCTGAACTCTTCAATTATATTCATTTTGATTTCATGGTGACTTTAATATTTTTTTTCCAGCGGGCAGAAAATGGAGATTTTAACTGGATCATTCCAGGGAAGTTTTTGGCTTTCAGCGGTCCACATCCAAAGAGTAAAATTGAGAATGGTGTGTATGGTTTCGCTTGTTTGGTGTGACTTTTTAATGATTATTACAGTTTCACTTCCTCATAATTTACTCTCCCCGACGTCATCCGAGATGTTCATGTGTTTCTTTCTTCGGTCGGAAAAGAAGTGAAGGTTTCTGAGGAACACACTCCAGGGTTTCTCCATGTAGTGTCTTCAATGGGGTCGAAGGTCAGATGTGAGCTTCAGAGTCTCGACACGATCCAGCCGAGGAATAAGAGTCTGATCTACACAAACCAGTGACTTTTACAACAAAACACACATTTATATACTTTAATCACTAATGCTGGTCTTGCTCGAGCTGTGATGTGACACACGTTATGTAATCAGGGTGAAAGGTCAAGCGGGACATAGGCGTAAGTACAGAGCGAGACTGAATCAAGCGCAATTTACAAAAAAATTTGAAGATTTTGAAGTTGAGGGATAAAATTAGTTGTTTTTTTTCCACCCTATTCTACACGTCTGACCTTTCAACCTGATATTGTGGACGTCCTAAACAAGTGTTAGTGGTTAAAGTATACGCACAACCGGCACATCCGGGAACTTAACTGTCAATTTTGTCCCCGCCCCCTTTTGGGGAAAACAAACATAGACTTCAATACAAAATAACGGCAAAAACCAACGTCCGTACACAGTAAATAACTTAAGAAATCACTTATATAAAACATGTCAAGTAATTATGTCATGCCATAGAGCGTGAAAGATAAATTTTTTATGCCTGTAATCAACTAGCACAGGCTGTCATTAATTCATAATATATACATTAAGGTTTTTTACTTTAAAAAACGAAATAAAATCATACCTGGTGACTCGATGAGGTACAAGTAAATGTCGGGGTAAGACACCTCTGGCCACTGGGTGGGGTTGTTTGACCAATTTGACACTGGGAGAATAAAGGGACGTGTTTTTAAATTGGCCAAATTAAGTTTGTGTATCCATCTTTCACGCTCTATGGCAGGCAGGGTGGACATATAATTACTTGACATGTTTTATATAAGTGATTTCTTAAGTTATTTACTGTGTACGGACGTTGTTTTGTATTGAAGTCTATGGGGAGTCTAGTTTGTTTTCCCCCAAAAGTGGGCGTGACCCTATTCGGAGACATTCTTTGACGCAGCGCCGGTTGTGCGTATATAAATGTGTGTTTTGTTGTAAATGTCGCTGGTTTGTCTAGATCAGACTCTTATTCCTCGGTTGGATCGTGTCGAGACTTTGAACCTCACATCTGACCTTCGACCCGTTTGGACCCCAATGAAGTCCATTATATGGAGAAACCCTGGAGTGTGTTCCTCAAAAACCTTCATTTCTTTTCCGACCGAAGAAAGAAACACATGAACATCTCGGATGACGTGGGGGAGAGTAAACTTTATTTCTGACTGTGTAATCTGTGTGAAACTGGTCTGGAATGTAAGATCTCTTTTCCTCTAGGATACCCTCTTCATGCCCCTGAGGCGTATTTCCCGTACTTCAGGAAGCACAACATCACCAACATCATCCGGCTCAACAAGAAGATGTACGACGCCAAGCGTTTCACAGACATGGGCTTCAAACACCACGACCTGTTCTTTGTGGATGGAAGTACGCCTAATGATGCCATCGTCGCCAAGTTCCTGAACATCTGCGAGAACGCTGACGGCGCCATCGCGGTCCACTGTAAAGGTGCGGTTAAAGTAGTTCACTTTTAAAAAAACTTTTGCAGATAATTTACTCGCCCCCGTGTCATCCAAGATGTCCATGTCTTTCTTTCTTCAGTCGAAAAGAAATGAAGGTTTTTGATGAAAACATTCCAGGATTTTCTCCATATAATGGACTTCAATGGGGTCCAAACGGTTCAAGGTCCAAATGAGAGTTTCAGTGCAGCTTCAAAGGGCTTTAAACGACACCAGACGATGAATAAGGGTCTTATCAAGCGAAATGATCGCTCATTTAATAAATAAATAACAAAGTTTAAGTTTTATAAGCTCAAATGCTCGCCTTGCTCTGTTCTGTGATGTTCCTGGTCGAATTTGTTCATCAAAACGAACAAATCTTTTTTGAGTCATTTTGTTGATTCAGTGAATGAAATGACTAAAAAGATTCGTTTTCACAAAAACCTTAATTTCTTCTCGACTCAAGAAAGAAAGACATGGACCTCTTGGATGACATGGGCGTGAGTAAATTATCACTCCTTTAAACTCCTTTAAAGAGCAACTATTATGCTTCTTATCCATGTTCATCTTTCTTTAATGGCTTGCCGTGTTGCATATCTATCTCGCCTGAGGGAAAAGATTAAAGAGAATCACATTAATTATGTTTTTTGAAGTCAACGTTTGAGATCCTGAACATAAACTCTCTTCTGGAGTCGATGAGGACGAGAAGAGAAGCTTTAGATGAACTCGCCAAAATAACCAGTTCTGCTTTTATCCAGATTAGAGCCAGACCGATATATCGGCAGGCCGATATTAGGCATTTTCCAAACTATCGGTATCGGCAGTTATAATGGCCGATAAATGAATATTTCAACATTAAAATAAAAATGGACGAAACGCGCTTGAAACGTCATGAGTGTTGGAGTTGTATAGTTTGTCCACCAGAGGGCAATGTTCTGTTGCGACAATAAAAGAAACAAGTTTCTTTTTAAAATGCATTTTCTTATTATTTTAGTTAAAATTTATACATAACTACAAATCTGTTAATGTTTTGTTGCGCATTTCTAAAAAAAAATTAAATGAATAAAAAATAATATCGGCTGATATATCGGATTTTAAAACCAACAAATATTTGTATCGGTATCGGCCTTCAAAATCCTTTATCGGTCGGGCTCTAGTCCAGATTATTGATTGAATCGGATTGTGAAATTGTAACCGCCGTGTGTTTCAGCGGGTCTGGGCCGAACGGGGACTCTGATTGGCTGTTACATGATGAAGCACTTCAGAATGACTGCAGCCGAAGCCATCGCGTGGATCAGGATCTGCAGACCCGGATCAGTCATTGGACCGCAGCAGAACTTTGTTGAAGAGTGGGTGATTCTCTGGACGCTTTAATCCACAACAGCAGTGTACACTGAAAAAATTAATATGCTTATCTAATCAATAAAATTGTGGCAACATATTACAAGCAATATTATTAATTAAATTGTACAAATTAGAATTAATTAGAATGTTAATTTGATTAACTATTACTCAATTGTAATTTGTTCAATTTAATAAATAATATTGCTTGTAATCTGTTGCCACAATTTTATTGATTAGATAAAGCATATTCATTTTTATTGTGTAGATCTTGTACCGGTCAAATGTTTGATTAATGCTTGCTCATCAAAGCTGCTTTTATTCGATCAAAAATACTGTTAAATAGTGAAATATTATTATAATGTGAATCATCTTTTTTCCATGTGAATATGTAGTAAAGTGTAATTTATTCCTGTGAATTTTCAGCATCATTAACTCAAATGTGTCTTGAGCATCAGATCCTCATATTAGAGTGATTTCTGAAGGATCATGTGACACTGAAGACTGGAGTAATGATGCTGAAAATCACAGGAATAAATTACACTTTACTATATATTCACATAGAAAACTGATGATTTACATTATAATAATATTTCACTATTTTTACAGTATTTTGATCAAATAAATGCATCCTTGGTGAGCAGAAGAGACTCTTTGAGACACATTAAAAGTCTGAATTATTCCAGATATTTGACCAGTACTGTGTATATACCAATCTAGGCCTAATACTGATGTATACGCGTCTCAATCTAACAGGAAGCAGGCGAGTCTCTGGGCCGAGGGCGATCTGTACCGTCAAAAAGCGAATGTAAAGGAGCAGGAAAACGGCTCGAGTAAAACGGCAGTGGCTGGAATCCTGTCCGGAGTCGAAGATATCTCCATCAATGGCACAAACAAGAACATTTCACAGAGGAAAACAGCCACTGAAACGGTGAGTAACTCAGTTTAGGTGTACGTTTTGATTTGTTGCTTTTTGGTGAACAGAAAAGACATTACATGTTTTTGATTACAAAAAAAGGCTGTTAAAATCGAGTCCCTCCCTATTTTCGTTTTCGAAACTGGTCCGATCGATTGTGCAAATCAATTTTTTTTTTTTTATAATTTTATTTGTAGCAGTTTTTTGTACACAAAACATATCCAAATCTCAAAAATGTTTACAGAAAGATTGTTATACATAAAATAAAACTAAACAAACAGCACCCACCGCCCCCCACCCACCCGCCCCCACACCAGACAGAGAGAATAAAAGAAAAAATTACACTTTGAATCACTAAATCAAAATTAAAAAAAAAAAAAAAATCATCATAATAAAATAAAATATAAATTGACAATGGAAGGAGGAAATAAGAAAAAAGTCATCCATATTACATACATGTCCAAAGATATTTCAATTCTTAGAAAGATACTTAAGGAAGGGGCGTGCAAATCAATTTTTGAATGTAAAGTCAATGGAGACGGTTTCAGACTGTGGTTAACCGGAGGTGTTGTTCATGTGTTCAGCACACAGAGGAAGAGGAAGAGGAGTGTGGCGGCCTCACGCAAGGCGATAAACTACGAGCTCTGAAGAGTAAGAGGCAGTCCAGGGCGTCCACGGGTTCACTATCGTAAGTTCTTCTCCTTTACATCCCTTGTCCGTCACACACACGTGTCCACTGGCGCTGGAGAAACCGGCTCGGTCCCGCAGTCTGTGATTGATGCAACAGTTAATAAAGATATCAGAAACTTTTATTTCAAATTCCCAGACTTTTGTGAGCGTTAGTTGTTGGGTTATTGCTGCTAAGATACTCTGAATGCAGGCAAACTGCTTTTAGATCTGAATTAAAGGAGATGTGTAACATTTCAACACTTTAAAGCCTGAAATTGTTGCATTTAAAAAAAACTAGATTTTTTTTTAATGTTTATTGAATCTAAATGAATCTTTTGATGCATCAGGCTTTTATGGCTCATTTAGTGATAATATGGAAGAAAAACGGCTTCATTTTATTCAAAAGTTCATTTATTTCAGTAATTCAACGTAAAAGCTGAAACTAATATATTATATAGACTCATTACATGCAAAGTGAGATATTTCAAGCCTTTATTTGTTATAATTGTGATGATTATGGCCTCAAAATTAGAATATTGTGAAAAGTTTTTCTTATCTGTAAGCCATAATAATCACAATTATAACAAATAAATGCATGTAATGAGTCTATATAATATATTAGTTTCAGCTTTCAAGTTGAATTACTGAACTTTTGCACTATATTTAATTTTTCGATTAAATTTTGGTGCGTATAATGTAACTGAAATGCAGATACTTGCATAAAATGCATATAAATATTAACATCTGGCAATAATGTCTTAGTAAGATTATATTTAAATGCTTAGTTTTATAATCAAAGCTCTGTTGTTTTAAAACATAATACAATGATGATTGAGAGACAAACCTGATGATCATATTTAATACTCGTGATTTTTTAAAACAAATAATTGCTAATCGAGAAAAGTGAAGCTAAATATTAATAACACTATGAAAGTTCTTGCGTTTATTTTATATAACTCTACAGATTTGACACAAAGACTCATGAAGCTCGAGCTGAAGGAGGACGCTTGATTAAAAAAGTAATACATTATCAATCAGACGACGGATGCTGTGCGTTTGATCATGTTTATAATTTAGAGATCTTAGTAAACGCCACCGTTAACTTGAACTAGGAAATGAACGAGAAAGCCGCGCGCCAGTGGATGTTAGACACTCGTCCGGTCGATTCCCCCGCCGGATAATCTGCATAAATAGTGGTTTTCCCGCTAATGATGGATGTTTAAGTGTGTGTGCATGACCTGTATAGACTAACCGCATGTTTTCGAGTTTAAAACATCGTCTTCCTGTTAATGATTGTGCTGGCGAGACCAGAAAGACCCCAAAAGCCTTTTATCACACAGCAGGCGAATGGTAGTAAAGTGTTGCAGTTTTCTGGGCTCGCTGTGGCCCGACTGTTGTGTGTCGTTGAAACGGTAGCAGAATGACCTTCAGGTGAGTCTGTGACATCATCATCATAGCCCATCGTAACCAACATGTGGCTGTTGCAGGTCTTCATTTCATTTAGTGCTTTTCTTTTGCTTCCACGTTCGACTGAGAACGATGTTTTTTTACGGCTCTTTTGATCATTTTTTTGACCCCCTCACTGAAAGTCTATAGTTTTGGATCAGTTAGAAAAGGTCTAGCCAATAAGGATGGGTATTTTTCAAAAATGTCGTATTTGAATATTCAGGTTCATAAAAATCGAATATTTGTTTATTTAAATGTCATGTAACGAGAAAGAGGTTGTTTTTTTTTATGTCCATATACACTATAACAATATGCACAACACGCTTTACTAGACATCGTTTATATATTAATAATTACAGCTCAAATATTCTAAAATTGTAATATTCGTGCACATCCCTAACATTTGGCAGTTTAACATCTCAACACCAGCAGCGCTCTGTAACGGCACTCATTAATTACTCAAATAGTCCTTTATCCTAATTTTATACTGGTTCTTTGTTGGTAAATGGTACAATTTTATCTGAATCTGTCATTTATACCATAAAGTCCCATGAGTCGTGCACAGTGTTGGGTGTAACTAATTACTAAGTACTAAGTAATCAGTTACTGTAGTTTAATTACTTTTCCATTGAAAATGTAAAGTAAGGGATTACTCTTCATGTATCTGTAATTTAATTACAGTTACTTCTGATGTAATTGATGTAAATACTGTGTATAGATCAATCCGATGCATTTTATGAGGTGTCTAAATTGTACGACCACACTAGTATAAATTCATATGGATTATTGTAAAATATGTATGAAAAAAGTGTAAAACATCATGAGATCAGGCATAAAACAATAGTGGGTTTAACATCAAAATGTATTGTCTGATGTTAAAAAGTATGTTTTTATAGCTAATGTAACCTTCTCCACCTTGGTCAGTTTAAGGATAATTCATGCAATTTTATAGTATTTATTTGAAAGAATTAAAACAGATTCATGTCTATCCTTGTATTATTCAGCTGGTTGAGATTGATATGGGATTTTGAAAGTAATTAAAAGTAATTAAATACTTTTTAGAGAGGGTAATTAGTACAGTAATCTAATTACACTGTTGAAGAGGTAATTAGTAACTAGTAATTAATTACTTTTTTAGAGTAACTTACCCAACACTGGTCGTGCAGCATTAATCACTGCATTGATGTCATTCCCACTGAAACAGCAAGAGAGGGCGGGGCATATCGTTCAGCTCCTCCCCCTTTTTAAATAGCCAATAGCGGTTAGCTTAGCTCGGCCAGAGCCGTTGATCTCCATAAAGCCGCAGTTTCCTCCTGATCGGACTTCATTCGCCACAATGGAAGCGTATTTACATCGTTTAATGGGTCTAAAAGTGTAAAAGGTCACAACAAAACAAGTCTCGCATGCATCCAGCGCTCTGGACTACGTTATTCTCCAGCTTCACAGACGGCTCTGACCTTTCTTCTGTCCTTTTTTGATGTTCTAACAAAGTCTTGGCTTTGCATGATGATGTTTGCATGAAGTGTGTGAACTGCTTTGGCCAGTTTTGCTTTGATCGTCTTTTTCAATTGCGCTGTAAACTGGATCTGATCTCAGACACGGATTGAATTCGATTTACAATCTAAATTTTATTTGTAGGCTTAAATTTTGTAATATTAAAGTGTCTATAAAGAGCATTTACTCTGAGTTTAAAGTGCCCCATTATGCTTTTTTGGATATTATCGTTCACGTAGTGTGTAATATAGCATCTGTTTGTGAATGGAAAAGGGTCTGCGAAGGTTATTATTAGGGCTGTGCGAAAATTAATTGCGATTAATCGCATCCAAAATAAAAGTCTGTGTTTACATAATATATTTGTGTGTGCTGTATATATAAATACCTATGCATGCATGTATATATTTAAAAAGTTATTTGCGCTTAAACTATTTATTTATATATATATATATTTAAAAAATATATATATATATATATATATAAATACATAATCTATATTATATAAATATAAATATTTTACATATGAATAACACATTTTCTTAAATATGCATGTGTGTGTATTTATATATACAAAATAATTATATACAGCACACAAAAATATATTATGTAAACACAGACTTTTATTTTGGATGCGATTAATTGCAATTAATTTTTGCACAGCCCTAGTTATTATTATATATCACACCGGAAAAATGTAGAAATTTCACCAAAAGAAGGTCGATACTGTACATCTGTCAGTAATCCAGTCTCTCGTCCTGCTGAACATGTCTAGGTTTAACTAATTTGCATAATGTCCGCCTCCGGTCTTGATTGGCTGAGCAGCATCTCTTAGCCCCGCCCTCAAACACTAGTTTATCTGAGACTGGGAGAGTTCAGTTCGTGTCAGACGCTGCTGATACGGTAAATCCCACGCCATCGTTACTGTTCGTATCAAGATATGATAATGAGCGTTTGCTTTCTGACCAATCACAGCAGAGCAGCTCTCAGAGAGGCGGAGCTTAGAGAGACCGAATCCTCGATCGAAGCGTTTCAGACACTGAGAGAAAAGAGCTGATGCTGTAATGGAGATTATAAGGAAAAATGTGTTTTTGACTTTGGATGCATGACGTTTAAAACAACATTAGGAGCTTTATTAGCATAATAAGGGCACTTTAAAGCACAGTTCATGCTGTAATGTGGTTTGGTTTGGACTGCAGATCCATCCAGTGTGCAGTGATGGGAAAGACTTGTGTCTGTCTGTCTTCCTTGTGTTGTTGTTGTTCTGAATTTCGCCCCTGTGTTCAGATGGCCGCTAGCTTTGCTGCTCTCTGCTCTCAGTAGCGTTGTCTTCTGCTGGATGTTGTTTGGCTTCCCTTCCCTCCATTACTGTATAGACGGGGTGGGATTGTAAATGCGTTAGCCCTTCTCTGGACTGGAACGCTGTAAGTGTCTCCTTTACTAACATCACCGGCGTCCTGAAAACTGAGAGACGGCGTTGTGTGACTCTATTAGCAACATCTCGGGTTGATTTTTACGAACGATACGCTCTATTTTCAGCATTGAATATAACCAACAATAAATCACTGACAAGTCCCTCTGTAGCCAATAATTATATCCTTTTATCTCCAAAATTACATATTTAAGTGTTTTTTCCTTAAAATATCTTGAATGTATCTTGACACCCTCGCCTCATTTAGTATGTGTGGTTCTATGAATATGCAAATGAGCCCCGCCTCCAGCCACTCGCTCAGAGATCCACTGGTTGACGATCAGTGCTGTCACATACACTGAAATTGATCATGTTTTATATTAAAATGACACCAAAATCAATTTGCATTGTTCCTATACATTTCACAAAAGCTCTTTAATTCCGCTAACACAACATTAATGATGCAACAATATCAAATAGCAATGAAATGCAATGCAAATATATCACTAATAACCTGTCAATCATCATCATAGTTCATCGTGATCTCACAAAGTTCTGTTATAATCAATGCACAATTATTTCTGATTCATATTTCTGAGGGTAATGTGTTATTTGTGCAGAGATCAGTGTTATTATGAGCCGAATGCTGGAATGCGCGAATGGCCAAATGCAGTAAAATTATGTTTTTTGCTCTCGATAATTAAGTTTGCTGTATGACTTTGCGGCGACTGTAGAGAATATGCTTTTAAATGTATATATTTTTTTGCTTGCAGGCTGGAAGAAAATACAATTCACACCAAATCCACATCTAAGTCATTAAGGTAGCTTTTCTTATTTATTTGAATAAAACTGTACTCTGTATTTATATCATTGTTTAAAGGACATGGGGCGATATCATATTCCTTTTTAACAGAATTATTTTGCATTTATGTATGCGGGGTTGGAAAAGGGTTGTTTTGTCAGTCAAACCCCTGAGATTTTAAGTTTATATAGCTAAAATAATCTACATATTCACATTGTTATGTAGCTAAACAAATAAAATATTTAGCTTTTTAAGCTTTTTAATTTAAATTATTTACTTGCATTTTTTTGGTATTTGATTACTGACAAAAAAAAAAATAGATTTGTTTTTAAGCAAGTATTTTATTTTGATAAAAATTTACATTTTTTTTATTTAATTAATTTATAGCATTGGTGTTTGGTTACTGACTTTTCTAATCTTTTTATTACTTTTTATTATTTGTTTTTATTTTTAAAATATTAATTGCAATTTTTTTATTGGAATTTGATTACTGACAAAAAAATAGATTTTTTTTATTTATTAGTATTTTATTTTTATTTGTTTCATTTTTAATATTTAAATTAATTATTTATAGCATTGGTGTTCAATTTCTGTCAAATATATATATATATATTTAAATGTATTTAAATTTTGAATATTTAATTCTTTAGAGCATTGGTATTCGATTACTGAGAGAATATTTTTTTTTGTTTTCCTTTAAATGATAAATGATGTGATGTGTTCCTCACGCAGCTCGGAGAAGCGGAAGAGAACGCGCGCGTCGCTCGGCTCCAGCGGGTGAGTCATTCAGTGAGGTTTCCATGCGTTTGTGCATTACATCACGGCAGCGTCTTGAGCAGAGCTCCAGTGTGATGATGGATGACGTTTTCCTTTCACAGACCTTTACATTCAAGGCTCGCTAGATCTTTAGGCAGCTTGCACGTAACGGCCTGTGAAACGGACGGCGTGTTCTCTGGCGTTAGCGCTGGCTCTATGGCCAACAGTAGTTTCATCGAGCGGTCGAACTTAAGGCGCTTAGAGCCGCACAGGAGGACTTCCTCCGGCATGAGTTCCCTGAGCGCAGTGAGTCCCGGAGCCGTGTGATCGGGGCCGCACACACTCTCGTCTTCCCTGCATGACTCTGACGGCTCTGCTAGCACGCTAACTTGGACAAATCTATCACGCTAGCATGCCATCATGGACGACTCCATCTTGATTCAGTCTGCATTAGTGCTGGGCAACTGTTAGTCGCATCCAAAATTAAAGTAGTATATAAATCAACTTCAATTGATTGAATTATATAGTGCTTTTCACAATGCACATCGCTTCAAGTTTCATGTTTTTATAAATGCACTGCAAAATATTACTGTGGTAACTCTTTTTTAAAGCTTTTATATATATATATATATATATATATTTTATTTATATAAGGTGTGTGTACTGTGTAAAATTATTTTGTATATACAAGTACACACACGTGCATGTATATATTTACGAAAAATGTGTTAATATATAAATTGTGTAAATCTACATGCTTGCAAATATTTCTTAAATGTATACCTTATAAATATTTCATGTATTGATATAAATTGTGTAAATGTATTTATCTAGGAAATATTTGCATGTATAATTTATATTATAAAGATTTTATATATTAACACATTTTTTGTAAATGTTTGTAATATTTGCATGTGTATACATTTAAACAATTTATATTATATATTAATATATGAAATATGCATGCAAATATTTCTTAAATATAATACATGTTATACATATTTCATATATTAATATATAATATAAATTGTTTAAATGTATACACATGCAAATATTACATGCATTTACAAAAAAATGTGTTACTGTATTAATATATAAAATCTTTATAATATAAATTATACATGCAAATATTTCTAACACATTTTTTGTAAATGTATGTAATATTTGCATGTGTATACATTTAAACAATTTATATTATATATTAATATATGAAATATGTATAACATGTATATATTTAAGAAATATTTGCATGGATATTTCATATATTAATATATAATATAAATAGTGTAATACATGCAAATAATTCTTAAATATATACATGCATGTGTGTATTTCTACAAAGTAATTAAATGCACACATATATTATGTGTAAACACAGTTATGGTGGATGTGGTAAGTCGTTGGCCGGCACTGGTTCAGACGTGTCATGGTTCAGTCTGATGAGTTCTCCAGAACCGTGATCACGAGTCGACCCGTTTACACCTGCGTCTCTGATCCGCTTTATATTTAAGCTTTTAAAGCTGCATGCAAATGCAATGTTTAAAGCTTGGAATTTATGCTCACCAAGGCTGCATTTATTTGACACAAAAAATACGGTAAAAAAATTATCTTTTTTTCTTTATGTGAATATAAGTGTAACATTGATAATAATCATAAATGTGTCTTGATCATCAGATCCTCATATTAGAGTGATTTCTGAAAGATCATGTGACACTGAAGACTGGAGTAATGATGCTGAAAATCACAGGCATAAATTACACTTTACTATATATTCACATAGAAAACTGATGATTGACATTAGAATAATATTTCATTATTTTTACTGTATTTTTGATCAAATAAACACAGCCGTGCATTAATCTAAATGAAACGTTTGAGCATTAAAGGCGTGTGAGTGACACCAGCTGTGAACGGGCCTCTGAAACATTAACACTAACAGGATTTGATTTCGTTCTAATGGGTTTTTATCTCTTCACTGCCTTTGCAATCGCCCCTGTAATAGACGAACTCTGTCCGGAAGAAGGAAAGTGCTTCACGCAATGCCATCGGTGCGCTTTCAGAGACCATGGTATCCTTTCTTCCTTCTGCTTTTCACTTCTGGAGTGTTTAAAGCATGTGCATGTTGTGCTCTGGGCGTTTTGCACACAGTGGTTCGGTGTTTAAAGCGTCTCTTGTCTTCACAGTAACTCCATGTCCAACGCTCGAGCGCCTCTCCTCCGCTGATGTCATCACTCCGGTTTCACTTCTTCATGGGTTTCTGGACTCGTCTATCAACAGAAAAATCTGCATTTTTGTTTTATAAAGCGTAAAAAAAAGTGTTTTGTTTTGTTTTTTTAATCAGAGAAAGCTTTAAGCATCTGTGAAGTTAGACTTTTTATCCCGTTGTAAATATCGAGTGTCAGACGCTGCCTTTGTTAATTATGCATTACTAATATTGTTTTTAATACTGTATCTAGTACTTTATTGATTCTGGTACTTTATTAACTGTAAAAGATCGAATGTGAATCATGGCTGAAAGCTGTATATATAAGCTGGAATTTGATAGATTTTGTTTTGTTTTTTTTTACTGTAAATAATGCAAAACTTTTGATTTTGATGACCAAATTTAAATCATGATAATTTCACATGTATGTATATATATATTATATATAATAGGAAAGGATTTGAGTCATATCCCTTTCAATAAATCCTTTCTGCAATGATTGAATGTCATTATTACTTACTGTATTGATTTATAATAGGTGTTTAATCAAGATTTGCTTTTATAGTAAATATAACTCTTCTAGTTATGCTTAATCAGCTCTGAAATATTTAATTGACTAAAAATTACTCTTTGTTGTGATGGCAATCATTATTGGTTTTAAAAATTATCTAGCAGACAATTGAAATCCAAGAGTTGGTAAACTCGTTATACTATAGTTAGAAAAGCTTAATTAGAAGAAATCGAACAAGTTCACAGAGAATAATACAGCCGAAAATAACAAGAATTGCAATTCGGTGTAAAAAACTAAACACAAACTTAGTTTTATTCTTTGACAGCTTCATGATTTAATCTCTAAGAAAGAGTTTTCTGTAAATTAAAACCGGAATATTTACCGATCGAGATTTGGCAAGCAAAACCATAACACTTTTAAATCTTACCTTAAAACTAATTTTTTAAGCTAGCTTTTAATTGAATATTTCTATAAATTTTTCATTGTGCATTATTTAATATGGCGTATTTTGTTGCTTTAATTTTATATATAGACATTGCTGATGATAGTATGGTGAAGTATGGAAATGATTTCAAAATAAATACTGCACCTGTCTCATGCAGAAGGGCCTTTATCTTAAGAAAACAATAGTTAAAGGGTTTTATTCATCACATTGTAGGCCTATGGCGACAGCTGCTGCAACACAAAAGGCGGTTTGATTACGTAACTTTCGCGCCACCGTCATCGCCCGCCTTTCCCTTTAAATCGATGTAAATGTAAACATTATGCGCGGGAGACGTTTAGCAGCAGGAAAGAAGAATTCACACAAGAACACGCCCCCTAAACTACACAAGACGTCATGTGATTGGATAACGGTCACGTCTGTCAGAAAGAGCGCGCTCTGCCATATTTAAAAGTGTTGGACGTTCTGGTCAGAGTCAAGGAATTGTTCGCGCGCTCTCATTGGTTACTGTGCGCTGAGAGAATCTCACAGCGTGTGCTCATTGGTTGTTCGGCGCGAGCGCTGTAACGTCCTCTTTAACGATTGGCTGGACCCTGCGCTCGGGCGCGATTTCCAACGCGGGAAAATAGCGAGTGCGATCGGATCACTGTATCAAACTCCTGCCAGTGAGAGCGAGCGGAATCAAAGGCACCGCGCGCAGGAACAGCGATACATGTAACATTGGGAATGACTGACTTTATTATTAAACGACTAACGGCAGGACGTTAACCTTCCGTCTGCACTTATTTTCACTTTGGATTTTTTTTAAATATATTTTAAGAACGGTTTTAAGATCCATTTTTTTTTTACTGCACTTAATGGAAATGGCTGACAGCAAACATCAAATGATATTTTGTAACGATTCGCCAAAAAGAGTTTTGGTGTCCGTGATCAAAACGACCCCGATCAAACCGAAAGCGGATTCTCTGATGCCCACCAGCCCCGGATTCAGTGACTTCATGGTTTATCCGTGGCGTTGGGGTGAAAACGCGCACAATGTGACTCTGAGTCCCGGATCGGGCAGCGGTACCGGATCCCCGACCCGAAACAGCGCTTCTCCCGCCGAATCCGATCTCAACTCCTGCCCGGAGCACTTAAAGGTGAACTAAATCACTATACTAGTTACTAGTACTGTATAAGTAGCAATGCATTCTGTTTTATATAGGCTAAAACTAGCACACAGTCATAATTTATTAGCGTTTATTCAATTTAAGCGTTGAGTTTCTATTCTGTTTAACGCATGATGCACATTAATTGTTGCACACTGCATATAAAACGCGCGCGCTGAATGGGATTTTAAATTTCCTCCATTGTGAGGCAGCTGGGAGTTGGGCGTGATGACGTCAGACGTGCGCGCCAAAATGTTACGATTATTGGTTCTAGAAAACTCCATTTGCCACATAATGACTTTTTTATATGTTTTCATGTGCGTGTTTTTGTTGCAAGTAACACTTCATAATGAGGTTAATTGGTGAACATGAACTAAGAATGAACAATACTTCTACAGCATTTGTTAATCTTAGTTAATATTCATTTCAACATTTACTAATACGTTATTAAAAACAAAGGCTGTATTTGTTAACATTAGTTAATGCACGGTGAACGCAAATTAACAAATAATCAACAGCTGGATTTTATTAACTAACATTTACAAAGATAAAAAACAACAACAAATGTATTGCTAATTGTTAGTTCATGTTAGTACATACATTAATGTTAACTAACTAATAACTGTTACCATTATTGTTCTCGTTTCAGTTTTTGCATCAACATATTAATCAGAATATGTGGCGTTATGTTACTATACTGTTATTATTACATACTACAATGTGTTTTATATTTGTTTATCAGGTATGGCATTTTTTAAAATTACATTATTGTATCACTGTTTATATTTGTGCATTATAGTTGTGCATTAAATATATTAACTTTTATTATGTAATGTATAATGTATAGGTTTTTCAAAGAAGTAAAAATATGTTTTAATTTTGCACAGTACAGATTGCAAAGTAATAAAAAGTATAGGAAAATAACCAAATCAAATGATGCATCTTCAATGTCAGCAGTACAGAAGATAATCAGTTCAGTTCATTGTTTTTAATTGGATAGTTCACGCAAAAGTTAAAATTGGCCCATGATTTACCCTGAAGTCATCCTAGGTGTATATGCCACTCTTCCTTCAGAAGAGTTGTATTAAAAATGTCAAGCTTTATAATGGCAGTGAATGGCTGTTTCTGTCTTGAAGTTCCTAAAAGTGAATTTATCCATCATAAAAGTGCATCTGTCCTTCATAAAAGTGCATCTGTCCATTCAAAAGTGCATCTATCAATCATAAAAGTGCATCTATCCATCATAAAAGTGCATCTATCCATCATAAAAGTGCATCTATCCATCATAAAAGTGCATCTATCCATCATAAAAGTGCATCTATCCATTCAAAAGTGCATCTATCAATCATAAAAGTGCATCTGTCCATCATAAAAGTGCATCTATCCATTTAAAAGTGCATCTGTCCATTCAAAAGTGCATCCATTCATCATAAAAATGCATCTGTCCATCATAAAAGTGCATCTGTCCATCATAAGTGCATCTGTCCATCATAAAGTGCATCTATCCATCATAAAAGTGCATCTATCCATCATAAAAGTGCATCTGTCATCATAAAGTGCATCTGTCCATCATAAAAGTGCATCTATCCATTTAAAAGTGCATCTGTCATCATAAAGTGCATCTATCCATCATAAAGTGCATCTATCCATTTAAAAGTGCATCTGTCCATTCAAAAGTGCATCTGTACATCATAAAAGAGCATCTGTCCATCATAAAAGTGCATCTGTCCATCATAAAAGTGCATCTGTACATCATAAAAGAGCATCTGTCCATCATAAAAGTGCATCTATCCATGATAAAAGTGCATCTGTACATCATAAAAGTGCATCTATCCATCATAAAAGTGCATCTATCCATTATTAAAGTGCATCTGTCCATCATAAAAGTGCATCTATCCATCATAAAAGTGCATCTGTCCATCATTAAAGTGCATCTATCCATCATAAAAGTGCATCTGTCCATCATAAAAGTGGATCTGCCCATCATAAAAGCGCATCTATCCATCATTAAAGTGCTCGCGTTTGTATATGGATCGTTCTGTCATCAGTCTAACATGCTCTTTCCTGGTTTATTATTGCAGGATGGGATCCGGCGTGGACGCCCGCGGGCCGAAACCGTTCGAGAGCTGATCAACGAGGGCGAAAACTCAACCAGTCGCATCCGATGCAACATCTGCAACCGGGTCTTTCCCCGGGAGAAGTCCCTGCAGGCGCACAAGCGGACACACACCGGTTCGTGGCGCTACACTGAGTCCTGCGGTCATGTGCGTTTGCGTTCAGACGGCAGATCGAGTGTTAATTTTCCTGGTTCTGTTACAGGCGAGAGACCGTATCTGTGCGATTATCCGGACTGCGGGAAAAGGTTTGTCCAGAGCGGACAGTTGAAGACCCATCAGCGCCTCCACACTGGAGAGAAGCCCTTCGTCTGCTCGGAGAAAGGTGAGCGTTTGTGCCGCATAGCCGAGTGAAACGCTTCTGGGACGAGAACAAATGTGGGCGGGGCTTGATTTTGCCTGTGGGTAATTGATTGGATGGTTGTGGTTTGCTATTGGCTGATCTCATGTGAGTGACAGGTTGCTCCGCCCACATCTTATTAAATAACTTGAATGTAACTCGACACCACATTTAGTATGCGCGGTTCTATGAATATGCAAATGAGCCCCGCCTCCACTCACTCAGCAATCACACGTTGATCTGATTGGTTACGAGGTCGTTTGTGACGTCAGAAACACCAGCGATTGGCCTGATTTTGTTCAAAATGAGTTATTTTCCATAACGTATATCGAGGCTTTGGTGTGCTAGTACTGTGCTGTTATTATTATTAGTGTAGACCTCAGCGCTGTGATCTCTAAATGCTTGAGTTTCTCTAATATAAAGTCATTTCTCTGTGTGTTTTAGGATGCGGTAGCCGGTTTACTCACGCTAACCGCCACTGTCCCAAACACCCGTACGCTAGACTGAAGCGCGAGGAGCCGACGGGCGGCCCGGGACAATCACACGGAGCCGACAACAAGGCTGTCGCCGAATGGCTGACAAAGTGAGTAAAACGTCCAGAGACACTTGATGAACACTAGGGGTGCCGATAAAAGCAATTATCTGTGCTGTTATTGTGTAAAAACAGCTGATGATCAGCTGACCTGTCAATCAAAAGGGGGCGGAGATACACACCAGAACTCATGAACTCAGTAAGTGTGCGATATGAATGCGAATGTTTTCTGTTTATTGGTAAACATGTTGATTACGGGTGGCATAGTATCGCAATATTGTATCGATAAACACACACAAGTGTTATGTACACACAAGCATTGTGCATAATTCACCCTAACTCTGCGCTTATAATGCTGGAAATAATAATAATTTTACATTTTTCTTTTAGACTGTAATTTCTGAGAACATGCATTCCTGCAGTTGGATATAATATATAGTACTATAATAACTGGTCCATCCCCAAAAATATTGAAAAATTATGTATTTATTTTTAGTGCTAATCTACGTTTCTCATTTTCGTTAAGTTTATGTTTTTCAACTTTAACACTTAAGTTTAGGGTCCAATTCTCACTATGATCTAGTTGCATATTAACATTCATATTACTACGATATTGGCTGTTTATTAGTTCTCATAAAGCACATATTAACGCCTTATTCTCATCTCCGTGATCATATTCTACATCCCTCAATCCTAAACTTAACAACTACCTTACTAACTATAATTAGGAGTTTGAGGCAAACGCTTGCCTCATTTAGTATGCGTGGTTCTATGAATATGCAAATGAGCCCCGCCTCCACTCACTCACTCACTCAGAGAGACGATCACACGTTGATCTGATTGGTTACAAGGTGGTTTGTGACGTCAGAAACACCAGCGATTTCCAAGCGTGTTTTTGAGACTGTCTTTGGTTCACTGCAGTTTTAAGGAGGAAATACTGTATTAAAGCATATTAAACACACAAAAACAACATTAAACGCTTGATTTTCACCACTGAGGGACTTGAAATCACAACAATTCTTGTTTTTTTGATGTGGGACTTTTCATTCAGTAGTTTTGTGTATTCTATATTTCAGTATTAAAGTGTTAGTTGACCCAAAAATGAAAATTCTGTCAGTATTTCCTCACCCTCATGTTGTTCAACCCCGTAAGACCTTCGTTCATCTTCGCAACACAAATTAAGATATTTAAGATATTAAGATCGCTCCATAGGCTTCTTGAGGGAATGACTCGAAAAGTCATTAAAGACATCGTTAAAATAGTCCAAGTGACTACAGCGGCTCAATCTTAACTTTATCAAACGACGAGAACACTTTTGTGCGCAAAAAAACAACAAAAATAACTTTTTTTTTTCAACTATTGGTTTATTTCTCCCTCTGCGCGAGTTAGGTTACTAGTTTAATAGCGTAAGCTTCTGTTATTGTACGTCACACGCATCACACACACATGACCAGCGTCGGCCAATAGTGAGCCTACGTGTGACGTAGCTTTACGCAATCACACTACGTTAACTGACTACAGGCTCATGGAGAAGGAAGTGAATAGTTGAAATAAAGTCGTTATTTTTGTTGTTTTTGCGCACAAAAGTGTTCTCGTCGTTTGATAAAGTTAAGATTGAGCCCCTGTAGTCACTTGGACTATTTTAACGATGTCTTTAATGACTTTTCGAGGCCAGCAAGAGTCATTCCCTCAAGAAGCCTATGGAGCGATCTTAATATCTTAAATATCTTAATTTGTGTTGCGAAGTTGAACGAAGGTCTTACGGGGTTGGAACAACATGAGGGTGAGTAAATACTGACAGATTTTTCATTTTTGGGTGAACGAACCCTTTAATGCCTCAATATATACGTGTGGCAAAGATCTTTTTGAAGGTTTAAGATCTTTTTATTTAACGATGATGGTAACCCCGGTTGCGCTTGTTTCGTCAGATACTGGCAGACGAGGGAACAGCGGTCGCCCCCGCCGGAGAAAGGAAAGACTCTGAGTAAAGCCACTATCGAGGATCAGGAACAGCAGGATCCTCTAGACTTCCTTCCATCGGACGAAGGAGAAGACGACGAGCAAGAGGACGAGAAGAACGCGGGAACGGCACGCCGGCGTCTCCAAGAGCAGAGAGAGCGTCTACACGGTGCGCTCGCGCTCATCGAGCTAGCTAACAATCTCTCGGCCTGAGGAGAACACCAGACGTGGACTTTCCTCGCGTCGTATAAGCTACAAGCACCTTATTTTGCTTCCTATTGTACCTTTAGGCTGCTATGATGGTAGATAAATATCATTATGAAGAATGTTGTTCTGTTTTCTCCGCTTGATAAGCAGGTGGGACGTCGTTTTGTTTGTTTTTTGTTTCGTTGAGCACTTTGTGTACATGTCATGAGTGTTTTTCTTTTTGGGTTTGTGGGTGGAGTTGTTGTGCGTGTTATTTTTTAAAAGGATTTTAGTGTGTGTGTGTGTGTGTGTGTGTTTTGAAACAGGGTGCGCTGATCGACCTGCTAAAGATGAAGACTTGTTTACGAAGGATCGTTAAAGGCTGGCTTTCATGTACACAGGTGAAACTATGATGCAAAAGTTCATTTATTTCAATAATTCAACATATTATATAGACTCATTACATGCAAAGTGAGATATTTCAAGCCTTTATTTGTTATAATTGTGATGATTATGCCTTAAACCCCAAATTCAAAATGAGAATATTGTGAAAAGGTTTTCATATCTGTAAGCCATAATCATCACAATTATAACAAATGAAGGCTTGAAATATCTCACTTTGCATGTAATGAGTCTATATAATATATTAGTTTCACCTTTTAAGTTGAATTACTGAAATAAATTAACGTTTGCACCATATTCTAATTTTGCACGTTTCACCTGCACGTAGACTCGCATTAGTCCGGTTCGCTTCCATCACATTGGTCACGTTTAATCATGTATTTATTCTATTTAAAGCAGTGTTGAGCGCCACCTGCTGTCAGCCGTAGGCGATGAGGGCTCAGGCTTTGCAATAACGTCAAACTAACCAGCTTTAAAATGCCATCTATGTGTCGCAGAGGTACACGTTTATACGCTAGCGTTAGAGTTCATGGGTAAAAACCCTATAAACTGAAGCACTTACAATATTAATCTATTACTATTTGTCTCACATCAATAGCTCAACTATAGACACTTCCAAAGAGAGACGATCGAATGAGATTCTGGATGGGAAACGGCACTTGTTATTTCGGTGTCTTCATAATCCGTAACACTACATTCTGTTCACGTGTAATTTAGTAGTTCTTATTATGTTCTTTGGATTAAATGCATTCGCAGATTTCATGCTTGATGCAGTTAAAATCAGCGTCTTTCCTCTTCATTTGGTGAATGCATGTTTTTGAGAGAGTTAATTGGACTTTTTTTTTTTGTTTATATATGACTTATTGAGTTTATTTCTCCATTTTATAAGTGAAGTAATATATTCCCCCTAAAAAACCCTCAGAAAGCCGTGCATGGTGTACCGTGTAAAAGCGAAACGATCCCAGGCGATTACGTCACGACAGCAGAATGTAATCATGTGTTTTGTTTTTGAGACGTTGTGTTCGCTGTGCTGAAAGGACTTTGTAAATTTTGTAAGCTGGCTTTTTTTTTTACTCATTAGCCGAACTTAGTGTGTTAGCACTTCAAGTCCTGATTAAATGATATACATCGTTCTTGGTTGTCATGTTTGTTTTTATTTAATTAAGGGTATAAAACATGGAACAGGTTTGTATGTTCGTCGAGCAGCAAGTGATTGTCCTCCCAAAATTTAAATAAAAAAAAGGCTAAACATTGAGATGCAAACTGTAGTATCATGTTTTCTCGGGATGGTCGTCTGTGATGCGGATCGCTGTGTGTTCGGACGGGTTCGCTCCTTCCGAGGAGCTGCCGCTGAACGTGATGTAGGAGTAAATCAGTCCCGCTGAGACGCTGAAACGTGGAGAAACTCGAGCGTTAGAAGACAAACGTCAGCCATGCAGAGGAAATATGACTTTAAGGCGTTTCTTACCATATATTCAGGCCTATAAAGTTCGTCCATGAGAAGATATAGTCTCCACCAACAAACATGCCGATATACATCACAGCAACATTCTGAGAGGGAACAAGATGACTTATGAAAGCCCTAATGAACATATGATGGATAAACTATATGTAACTAGGGATGCACCGATATGAAAATGTTGATAATTCTTTATATTTGAAAGCCGATATATAAGCCGATAAATCAAAATCCAAATTTTGGTCGATACCGATAACTCTTAATATTTAAAAGCCGATAACCGATATATTGGCCGATAAATCTAGATCCAAATTTTGGTCGATACGATAACTCTTAATATTTAAAAGCCGATAACCGATATATTGACCGATAAATCTATATCCAAATTTTGGTCGATACGATAACTCTTAATATTTAAAAGCCGATAACCGATATATTGGCCGATAAATCTAGATCCAAATTTTGACCGATACCGATAACTCTTTATATTTGAAAGCCGATAAACGATATATTGGCCGATAAAACTAGATCAAAATTTTGGTCGATACGATAACTCTTAATATTTAAAAGCCAATAACCGATATATTGGCCGATAAATCTAGACCCAAATTTTGGTCAATACGATAACTCTTAATATTTAAAAGCCAATAACCGATATATTGACCGATAAATCTATATCCAAATTTTGGTCGATACGATAACTCTTAATATTTAAAAGCCGATAACCGATATATTGGCCGATAAATCTAGATCCAAATTTTGACCGATACCGATAACTCTTTATATTTGAAAGCCGATAAACGATATATTGGCCGATAAAACTAGATCAAAATTTTGGTCGATACGATAACTCTTAATATTTAAAAGCCAATAACCGATATATTGGCTGATAAATCTAGACCCAAATTTTGGTCAATACGATAACTCTTAATATTTGAAAGCCGATAAACGATATAGTGGCCGATAAATCAAAATCCAAATTTTGCCCGATAATTCTTTATATTTAAAAGCCGATAACCGATATATTGGCCGATAAATCTAGATCCAAATTTTGGTCGATACGATAACTCTTAATATTTAAAAGCCGATAACCGATATATTGGCCGATAAAACTAGATCCAAATTTTGGTCGATACGATAACTCTTAATATTTAAAAGCCGATAACCGATATATTGGCCGATAAAACTAGATCCAAATTTTGGTCGATACGATAACTCTTAATATTTAAAAGCCAATAACCGATATATTGGCTGATAAATCTAGACCCAAATTTTGGTCAATACGATAACTCTTAATATTTGAAAGCCGATAACCGATATATTGGCCGATAAATCTAGATCCAAATTTTGACCGATACCGATAACTCTATATTTGAAAGCCGATAACCGATATATTGGCCGTTAAATCTAGATCCAAATTTTGACCGATACCGATAACTCTTTATATTTGAAAGCCGATAAACGATATATTGTCCGATAAATCAAAATCCAAATTTTGCCCGATAATTCTTTATATTTAAAAGCCGATAACCGATATATTGGCCGATAAATCTAGATCCAAATTTTAGTCGATACGATAACTCTTAATATTTAAAAGCCGATAACCGATATATTGGCCGATAAAACTAGATCCAAATTTTGGTCGATACGATAACTCTTAATATTTAAAAGCCGATAACCGATATATTGGCCGATAAAACTAGATCCAAATTTTGGTCGATACGATAACTCTTAATATTTAAAAGCCGATAACCGATATATTGGCCAATAAATCTAGAAACAAATTTTGTCCGATACGATAAGTCTTTATATTTAAAAAACGATATATTGGCCGATAAATCTAGACCCAAATTTTGGTCAATACGATAACTCTTTATATTTAAAAGCTTTATATTCTAAAAGCTTTATTTTTTAAAGTAATTTGAGAGCCTGATTAAGAAAAACAAAAGTCTCACAATTAAAAACCACGTTCCAAACACACTTATAATGTACTTATTATAATCTTAAGAAGCCGATATGACAGAACATGTTGCACTTCACAGTATTTTTCTTTTTTGAAGTGATTCCAATCATATTTCAAGCAATTCATAAGAATTGTTGCACTGTGTGCACCTGAAGAGTCTCAGCTCAAAGAAATAATACATTATTTATCAGCTTCAATATATCTGCCACATTTTCTTATCGGGCCGATAACAATATATCGTGCATCCCAAATGTAAACACTTTGAATAAACAACCATTCAAAAGTTTGAAATCTGTAAGACTTTTTAATAAAAATAATAAAAACAGTGAAATATATTATTATAATGAAAATCAGGGGTGTCAAACTGGACCACAACCCTGCAGAGTTTAGCTTCAACCCTAATTAAGCACACCTGATCAGCTAATCAAGTCCTTCAGGCTCATTTGAAAACTGCAAGTGTGTGTGTGTGTGTGTGTGTGTGTGTGTTGAAGCAGGGTTGGAACTAAACTCTGTAGAGCTGTGGCCCTCCAGGAACTGACTTTGACAAATCATCTGTTCTCTATGTGAGTATACAGTAAAGTGTAATTTATTCCTGTGATTTTCAGCATCATTACTCCAGTCTTCAGTGTCACATGATCCTTCAAAAATCACTCTAATATGAGGATCTGATGATCAAGACACATTTATGATTATTATCAGTGTTGAAACTGATTCTTTGATGAATAGAAATTTCATAAGAACCGCATTTATTTTTGTAATGTCTTTACTGTCACTTTTGATCAATTTAATGCGTCCTTGATGAATAAAAACATGAATCTTACAGACCCTAAACTTCTGAACAGTAGTGTACATTAAAATAATAAATATAATTAGTGAAGATACTTTAATCGCTCCAACGACTGTCGTTGTCAGTGCCGTGTTGTAAAAGCTGCAGAGGATGATAGAATACATCAAAATAAACCTGAAACGGGATATAAGATTGTAGTTATTTATAAATCCATATATCATCCAATTTTAAAAACATCATAAGTCAGACTCACCCCATGACACAAGACAGTAAAAAATAAAATATGAATGTAAAAGACAGCCATCCCTCAAAGGCAAGGGCCTTAAAACAAGGAGGAACATATGTTAATATTCTCTAATTATTGATTTTATCTTCATGTTCTCACTCACCTTTTGTAAATCTCCAGAGTAAGCGCTCACCAGCGCAGTTGGTATAATAATGATAAATGCATTATAAAACAAAACTCCATATTTCCCGAGCTCCTGTAATGACAGAAAGAAGTGTTTGCGTTTGCTTTGGCTGTTGTAAAGTTTTCAAAGCAACAGTTCTCAAGTTATAATTGCATTATTACAGGTGAAACTCAAAAAAGTAAAATATCGTGCATAAGTTAATTTATTTATTTCAGAAACTAATATATTATATAGACTCATTACATGCAAAGTGAGATATTTCAAGCCTTTATTTGTTATAATTGTGATGATTATGGCTTAAACCTCAAATTAAAAATTAGTATATTGTGAAAAGGTTTTCATATCTGTAAGCCATAATCATCACAATTATAACAAATAAATGCTTGAAACATCTCACTTTGCATGTAATGAGTCTATATATTAGTTTCACGTTTACGTTGAATTACTGAAATAAATGAACTATATTCTAATTTTTCCAGTTTCACCTGTATTTACAGAAACATCCTGATAACTAATGCCGTCATAAAGTACCTCCATTCCAAGTTTCTTCTTGGTGTAAACGCCACTGGCGGCCGTGAAGACGTCGTTCAGCAGAACAAACGTGTAGCCTTCCGCATTAAAGGACAGATCCGAGCTGAAGATTCAAGTCACATTTATTTATACAGCGCTTTTCAAAGCAGCTTTACAGAAAATCCATGAGTAGTGCGTATTATAATTCAGAGTGATGTGAAATCAGAGGAAACTGTACATATACAAAATCACAGAAAGGGAAAAATGTATGAATTTAAACAATGTAATAATTAAAGGTGGGCTCATTGAAAACTCTATGAACCCCAACATGATTGTAAAGCGCTTTGGGTGTACAGTAACGCATATAAAAAGAGCTATATAAATGCCTCATTCATTGAAAACATGCTGTGTGTTTATTTGCATGAACATTGATTTGTGTGTGTTCTTCGACTGTACCTCGCTGCGATCAGAGCGCCCAGAACTATCGCCAGAACACTGAACACCAGCGACGACGGGAAGGTTTTTCTGCACATACACACAGTTTAAGCATCATTAGAAAAAATTATACATTTTTTTTGTAACTATAAAAAATATCATTAATTTTCATCATCAAACACAGAAAAAAGCACACAAATAAACACATTAAAGAAAACAGCTCTTGTCATGGACCGTAACAATAAAGAATACGTCTATGGACGTAACAATTCTATAATTATTAGTGCAGTGCTCGTGCAAAATCAGTTTTAGTGTGTTTGTTACAATTATACAAGAAAAGTTCAGTGACATTTTTATTTGTGCATGGTAGACAACAAATACTGATACTGACATAATGACATACAATAAATATGGAAAATTGAACTACAATGGTTGCATAATTTATACAGGAGAAACCCGAAAGATTAGAATATGGTGCAAAAGTTCATTTATTTCAGTAATTCAACATATTATATAGACTCATTACATGCAAAGTGAGATATTTCAAGCATTTATTTGTTATTATTGTGATGATTATGACTTACACCCCAAATTCAAAATTAGAATATTGTGGAAAGGTTTTCATATCTGTAAGCCATAATCATCACAATTATAACAAATAAAGGCTTGAAATATCTCACTTCGCATGTAATGAGTCTATATAATATATTAGTTTCACCTTTTAAGTTGAATTACTGAAATAAATTAACTTTTGCACCATAGTTATATGGTGACAATTTATAATGTTTTTTAGTAATTGGTGTGTTTGAGTGCTCATTGTTATAATTACACAGTAAAAGTTCAGTAATATTTGTATTAGTGCATAGCTGAGCGAGTGTTGATGTCAGATTGTTTCTTTTTAAACCACAACCTTCTAAACATCTTAAATGTGTGCTTTTTTTACCGATATATTTAACGATATCTACATTTCTCATCCAAACAACGTCAAACTCGGCACTGGACTTACTCGCGCCCGTAGCAAGACACCCGTCAAGTTTGAAATCCATAGGACTAACGGTTCAAGAGATATGCGAATAACAGACACACACACACACACAGACATTCCTGTAATTTATAGATAGATGAACATTTGAATCATTAATATAATTATATTATAAATTATAATAAAGTAATTATGACCATAACGATAAAGACTACGTCTCTGGATGTAATAATATTAATATAATATTATAAATGAGAGTACATACCTCAGTATCCTTGATTCCATGATCATTGTCAGTAAAATGGTGAATTTTCTGAGTACGGTGAACATGGGTAAACTGAGGAACACAAGAACATCATCTTCATACGAGTGTCACATTTTATATTTAAGGTACATTATGTAACTTTTTTGTCAATAGATTATTCCAAAACCGATTTGAAAAGTTTGGCCAATACCGATAACCGATAATTCCTTAAGCGATATATTGGCAGATAAATCTAAATCCAAATTTTTATATAATTTCCCGAGAGCCTGATTACAAAAGCCATGTCCTTAGCACACAATTATAATATTCTTATTATGATGTTATGTAACCGATATGACACACGTTAGTTGTACTTCACTGTAAAGTGTTTTCAATCATATTTTAAGTAATTTAAAAACATTATGTTGAATAATGCACATCTGAAGAGTCTCAGCTGAAGGAAAAAATACATTATTAATCGGCTTTAATATATCAGACATTTTCTCGGATATGGGATAACATAATGAACATATATCGGCTGATACTGATATATTGCGCATCCCTTAGAAACAGTGGCGTAGCCAGGGGAGGGGCCATGGGGGCACTGGCCCCTCCTGAAAACTGATTGGCCCCCCAGTGTGCCCCCACCCTTCTAATTGTCTGTCACTCAAAAATTCAAATCATAATCTTTCAGCTTGTAGTAGAATAATTCATGATTCCGCGTCGCGCGATGCTTCTCAAAACCACACGGTAAGTTGATATATTTTATACAGCTTATTATTTTTTAAGGAAAGACGATGTGTATTCACCCTGCTGAGGGGAATGTGCTAAAGCCTGGAGTGGAGCGAAAGCACGTTCCTCTCTCCACTCTAAGCATTCTGTAATCACTTCGCTAATGGTCCACTCCGGTTTTTCAATTCCCGCTCAAGGAAAAACTGCTCCATGTTCACTCAATTAGTCTTAGATTTTGAGAAGTGCATGTCAGGCTACTGCTCGTTTGCTGCGGTCGTATGATAGAAAACAGAACGCGGGTCAATATTGGTCGTTTCTCAATACCAAGAACGCAAACTTCGGAGAACGAACTCCCGAGGACGAGAGGACGCGAGTCCGGCCATTCACTCAGCACGCGGCTACTCCGTTCATCTCTTATATGGTATAAAACACAACTTTGCTTCTTTTCATCAACAATAAAACGAAATGCATATAAAACAGCACTCTGCCTCATTTCGTTTAAAAATGGACATATTATCATGAACAGATTAATGGCCACAAAAATGTGGTTCAGGTAACGTTAACTCACATTGACTATCTTCACTGCATATAACACGAAATATAAAACACAACCCTGCTTCTTTTTGTTTTCATTTTAAAAATGTGAAACATTATTGATCATTAAAACTGACATTTAACAAACAGACAGGGTTGTATCGTTTTATTGTATTACACACAGTGAAGAGAATGTATAGTAAAAACATACACATATAAAGAATATTTTATATATTTTAGAATATATAAAATTACACAACCCTGTCTCTTTTGTTAAATGTCAGTTTTAATGATAATATCCCATTCAAAAGTATAAGTAGCCTATATAGGTAGCAATGAGAAATAAAGTAAACAATTCAGTTAAACATAAGTCAGCTCTCTAATGGGATACAAAGTTAAAGTTAAATAGCCTAAAAGTTAAATATATAAAGTTATGAAACTTGACTTTTCCCTCAGCCAGTTAGCATTGTTTGGTCTTATGAGATAAATAAAAACATGCACTGAAAAGTTATGTAGATGGTTGATTAGGCCTATTTGTCAAGATAAGTAATTGTTTTTCATAGATTAAAATAGCTTTTAAATTACGCAAACTGGCAATATTAGATCGGTTTAAAACATCTCTCCTTAAAACGCTATTGGTCTCGACTATTTAAATAAAGTTACAGGAATATGACTTGGCCTGAAAAAAAAAAAATCAGTCAAAAGAATTTTTTTAATTTAATCCCTGCATCCAGAAACATTCTCAAATAAAAAAATATAAAAAAGATAATTAAATAAAAATGCATGATTAAATAGCAAAATAAATAATTAATACTACTGGATAATTAAGTCACTGTTTCTATGATCCACATATATTACATTAAACTAAATCACACCTTTTTGAAAAAGTAGCTATCTAACAAAGTATTATATGTGATATTTTACAATCAATATGCTTAAGACTAATGGGCTTTATGCCCAGCTGCACTACTTCCTGAACTTCAGCCAGCTCCTTGTTTCCTGTCTGCCATTATTGGCCAAATTGATTAATTCAGGTGTGTCTGATTATTGTTGCCATGACAACTGAGGTCAGGCACACCTGGATTAATCAATTTGGCCAATAACTGCAGACAGGAAACAAGGAGCTGGCTGAAGTTCAGGAAGTAGTGCAGCTGTGCATAAAGCCCATTAGCCTTCCTCGAAATAAGCAGATTTGGTCTATTCATCAATGCAAATTTACTGCAACTGCTGAAATGCAAATTGAATAGAATGTGGGGGAAAAGATGTATACAATTTTATTACAGTTTTATGAATTCATTAATTGTGTATTTATTATATGAATGATTAATATAATTATGCATTTATATAAATAAGGCTGTTCTATTATTATTTGTGAGTTGGACACTAATACATTGGATTATTTTATTTATTACAGTTTTTCTATCACTTTTGTAAAGTGAAAAGTTAATATAAATTGTATTTTATTGTTTTGATTTAGATCGGTAAATAACTGCTATTAAAAGATAACAGGGTATCACTGTTTATTGCTGATTTTAAAGCTTACTGAACTTGAAATGATTTGGATATCTACAGTTCTACAAAAAATACACAACATAAGAATGGCCCCTCTGTAATAATTGTGGCCCCTCTTGTGCCCCCCAGTTGAAAAAATCCTAGAATCGCCCCTGCTTAGAAATACAACTGTTCATGGTTAGCTCAGGTCCATTAAATAATGTTAGTACAACTTTTGATTTTAATAATGCATTAGAACATTAATTAACATTAACTGAGATTAATTAATGTGTTAATAGTAAATTTCCCTGTTAGTTAATGCAGTAAACTACTGTTAACAAATGGAACTTTATTCTTTTTATGGAAAACTCTTGTGTTTCTGATTTATTTACCTCAGTTTCTTTGTTCCTCCCAGTCCGGTTACATGATTGCCCACATACAGCAATGGCAAAGGAAAAATCTATATAAAAATAATATTATCAATGAGCAAAGAGGTGTGATAAGTGTGATTAAAAACAAAATGACACATTACATTACCTTTCCAGGGATAGTTTTGTCAAAGTCCTGAAAATGGATCACTTTGTTCTTTTTGGCAACAAACAGAATGATGATTGTTGCTGCCATCTATGACAAAATAAAGACAAAATAAAAACTGATAGATTTCGTGTGTTGTTAATGAAATAACTTTTGATTTATTTTTTAAAAATGTTTCTCACCTGCCCAATTCCAAGAAACATAAATGAGGGAAACCTACCAAATATAACAACAAACACCACATTGATTGATTGAATGAATGAATCATAATGTTATTATGTAGGCCTATGAATGAACAACATATAAACATGAGCATGAATTATGAAACCCGGATGTTGACACTTACTTGTACTGGGTTAAAATACATTTATTCACCACGATGATGAAAAACGAACAACATGCGTAAAACACCGCGGAGAAAAACTTCATGAATTTCGTGTGTTTAATGTCGTCGTTTAACGTCATCTTTCTTTCGGTTTCTTTAGTCTCCATTAATCCTCATATTTTTCTCTCTTTCTTCGGCGGTCTGGAGACTAACATCCTGTTGCTGAACCCGAAGTGTACACACACTAAACAGGTTATTTAATAATTACTCATCATGAAGTGAGAGGTTCAGGAACGTTGTCAGTTAATGATTGAACGACTGAGGGACGACAGCTCTCGTAGAATGACTAATAACTAATATAAACAGGGGGCGTGGTCTCAGAGAGGGCGGGGTTTAGAGGCGCGGAAACGGTCTGTGATTTGTGGAAGCCCGCCCTTTTCACAAACTGCGATGACGCGTTTTAACGGTCATCATCATAATCAACATCGTAAATCATGCAAAATTATATATATATACATATATATATATATATATATATATATATATATATATAATATGTGAGTATTCATTACTCACATCACTAGATTATTGTAATGAAGTTGACATCTTTCTTCTGACTACCATTATTAATCTTTCATTATTAATCTCTTTTTCCTCTTTTTGAAAGTTGTGAAATCACTATGTGGAGTTTTACTTTTGCTATTTAAGCAAATGGGAACACAAAATATATGTAGTCTCTCATTCAGTTTCCACCACTGTGAAAGATATCAAGTTTTGGTATATCTTATTATATAAAATAATAATTATAATAGGTATTACACAAACAATCAAAACTGAGTTTAAAAAGTCGACTTTGAACGTCATAATTTTCACTTTTACTTCATAATTATGACTTTTAAGTATAATCGACTTGTAATGACATAGTTAAGAAAGAAAATGGCAAAAAAAAAATCCATAATGAATTGAATACGTTAAAATAATAATTGTCCTATTTACATTTTATATTGTGTGTAAATTCGGTGGCTATTGTTTAATAATTATTAAATAATAATAATAATAAAAGAAATTAATAAAAGTATGTTTGCTGCAGTTGAAATAAATTGGCCTGTTCCTGATTCCGCCACTAGATGTCAGTGGATGCCACCAAATCGACGTCATTCCCTTGTGAGCCACAGTATGCGCTGTTCAGTCTTCAGGGAATAGTGAACAACAATGATTCCAGGTAAGCATCAGTCTCTACGTTGAGCTTTTCATCAAGCTGTCCATGTTAACAACACCATATTGTTGTTCTAAAAAGTTGCCTGAAGTAATATTTTGTAAACGAGTGTCACTGATAATCTGACTCTCAATTTTAGCTGTTTGAAACATTTCGAAACTACGACTGGTCCACAACAGCTTTCAACCCTGAAACTCCAGTGGCCTGTGTAATGTTTTTTTTGCACAAAGCTGGCTATTAATCAGGTAAATTCGAGATTAGTTAGACCAACTGGTTATTTGAGCTTTTTTTTTTTTACAACAATCTTTTTTTTTTTTTTTTTATTGAAACAGTATCAATTTACAAACTCAAATAGGGAACAATACTATGCATACAAAAATAAACCATTCATATATCAGTGCATATACGCCTATGCTTACATTGGTTACAAAAAACAAACAAACAAAAACAATTGCATAATTAGTACAATAATCAAAAGCAAAATTCAAACATTTAAGGGGGTTACAAAAGTGCAAAAAAAATACAAAAGGGAAAAAAATACATTTTAGACAAAAAAAGCGAACAAACAAAAATTAGAAAGAAAGAGACTCATACATGTTTTTATACAGTTTACAGAGGGACTGGTTATTTTACAACAATCTTACCAGAGTTATCAGAGACAAAGCCGATAAGCCCGCCCCTTTAAAAGTTTTTTTTTTTTTTTTTTTTTTTTTTTTTTTTTTTTGCATTTCAATGAACATACAGAACCAATGCCATGGGGTAAATACAATTGAGAATACAATTACATGTTATAAAGCCAGGAGAGTATTCTGGGTCAGACATTCGCAGGCCAAAACTGGACCAGTGACGTGTATATGGTGTCATACCCCCTGCACTCGCCACAAATTAAAGCAGTTTACAGTGAAAAAAAATGTTAGAGGACAAAATTCCTTATATTTTGCTGATATTTATTTATATTATATGAATTATAATCAGACAGAACGGGAGAAACACCGGTGCACAGATCTTCTAAGAGCAATTAGAATTAAATTATAATATAATATTATTTTAATTCATATTATGCAGTCCAATAATCATTATAGCCTATTAATGACAAGTAGGCTAACATTAAATGTTGCTACATTAATATAAGGCTACGTGTCTTCATTTGTGCTCTTTGTGAACCTATAATTATTAGGTTCTATTATTATCTAATTACTATTTCTCACATCATGCATTCTCAAACGATTGTTTTTTTTCCTGCGCCTACGCTTAATCTTAAGTTCATTAGTCATATTCATGATCTCAATCTTCAGAAGAGAAATGAACGGCGTCTCCGTGTCACACTTTCAGAGTTAACGGAATAGTTCACTTAAAAATGAAAATGCTGTCAACATATTACTCGTCCTCAAGTTGTTTCAATCCTCTATGAATTTATTTCTTCCGCTCAACAGAAAATACGATATTTTGAAGAAATAACTATGGAAGTCAATCCATCACTGTCTATACCGAAATTCTTCAAAATATCTTCTTTTGTGTTCATTCATACAGGTTTGAAACTTGAGGGTGAGTAAGTTTGCCTCATGGTGCGTCACGTCCGGTTTGGCGGTTTTCAAATGCGGAAGTAAAAACTTCTTACAAAACCGACTCTAGAACATAGACAGTAAAAGAAAGCTTAAACTGCGTTTCATACGTTTATTTTTATATTTAAATCCAGTTCTTACATAATTTTTCTATGCCATTTAAAGTCGTTCACACACTAAGGACGATATTCTCACAGCTATAAGGATAATGGCATAGAGAAACGATAGAAAAGCGATCGATGGGATCACTTTCAGAATGATTTTATCCAGACAATGAACGATAACAACATTGGCAGCCAATCAGAATCCATCCTGCTGTAACGAGCACGAGCGTTTAAAGTGACAGTTTTATTTATTGTTGTTTACTTTTTTGTTTATTTATTCTGCTAGGCTATTTATCAACTTTTTAACTTATTAATTCTGTAGGCCTATTTATTTCTTTATTTATTGACTTATTGATTATTTATTGTTTATTGATTGGTTGATTATTTATTGTTTATTTATTTATTGACATTAACTTATTGATTGATATTTATTGACTGCATTATGTGTTGACGTATTGATTGATTGATTATTTATTTATTATCTTATTGATTGATTATGTATTGTTTATTTATTTATTGACTTATTGATTGATTATTTATTGTTTATTTATACATTTATGTATTGACATTTATTATTTATTTACTGATTGATTATTTATTTACTTATTTCTTTAGGCTATTTGTGAACTTATTTACTATATATTATTTATATTATTTACTTATATTATTTATTTATTGACTGTTTGTTGACCTAATCAAATCAGGTAAAATTATCATCCGACTCATATTATTTCTTTTACACTAGTGTGAAATATTAAAAAACTGAAGAAGAAAATTTTTTTTTTATTTCATTAAAAAAGAAGAGCATACAAAGAATATATACAGTATATTGTAGTTAATAATGTCTGGAACAATCAGCAGAAAATGCAATCTAATGTAGAAACTACTGAAGCTGCCACATGATCCATGATTATAGAGATGATCCTCGCTTATTCAAGGTCGCTTGTGTTTGCGATTCTTCTTGATCTTGTCCAAGACTCTCTTCAGTTTGGGATGAGCACAGATCTTTCTGTTTTTGATGTGCATTCTGAAGAGCAGGGAACAAAGTAAGCACATGATTCATTAGTGTTTGTGCTTATTTAACTCATCCTTCCCACGGGTCGTTTTGACTCAAAACTCATTAAAAAAAATAAAAATTAAATAAAAGTGTTCATCAGAGTCCAACACCCAGGACTTTCATACTTGAACCACGAATACACACGAACAAGTTTTGTGGTTTAAATTTTTTAAAGTAACGATTCTTCATATACTCAATATAGAACGATTAATCATGATTAATCGCATCCAAAATAAAAGTTTGCATTTACATAATATGTGTGTAATGTGTATAATTCTTTTTTATAAATACACACACTTGCATGTATATATTTAAGAAATATATATATATATATATATATACTGCTCAAAAAATAAAGGGAACACTTAAACAACACTTAAAAAGTAAAAACAAGAAAAAGTATTTAATAAGATTATTTCATTCATTCTGATCTATGATGTGTTATTTTAGTGTTCCCTTTTATTTATTTATCATGCGATTAATCGCGATTAATCGTTTCAGAGCCCAAGAAATAAAGCCATCTAGAGTCATGAAATATCATGTTATATTATTTATTTAACACAAGCGGTCGGCAAAGGTCAGATATTTTGAGCTGAATTAAAAGGGTTATGCATGGAAGCTTGTATCCGCCACAGGACGAAAAATAAAAAAGGTACTTGAGACTTTTTAACTCACAATTCTGACTTTTTTCTGACAATTGCGTGTCATAAAGTCAGAATTGCGAGATATAATTTCAGAATGGATTGATAGACTCAAAATTGCGTCTTGTGAAGTCAGAATTGTGAGATATAAACTAGTAAAGACTAAAGTTAGTCTTTTTTTCCCTTGGCCTGATAACTCGTTAACTCCTTATGTCGCATCAATTCTTAGAAAAGATGTCAGAATTTCAAGAAATAAACTCACAATTGTGAGAAAAAAGTCTAGCGACATTTTTTAAATTTTTTTTATTCAGTGGCGGAAATAAGCTTTTATGTTTATGCATGAAATTGTGAGGGTTTTTTTGTGTTTTTTTTTTTTTTTTTTTTGTGGAATGTGATTAAATGACTTATTTATTATGTATTGGTCAAATCTATTAATTTAAAGGTAGGGCCTAAATAAAAAATAACCAAAAATATCCAATAAAATGATAAAATAAAATAAATAAAATAAAAAAAAGTATAATTTGAGGGCTTAGATTAATTTGGCATATGTGTGTGTGAAGGATAAACACTCACATGAGTGCATCGATCTCACAGCGGCCAGATCTGCTCTGTATGTAGTATCTCTGGACTTGACGCAGTTTCTGCCGTGGGATTTTCCTGGTTACAGCCAGACAGCATGTGGGAATGGCATTGGTACTGGCTGAAACAAAAAGCAGGATCTACTATTATTGAACATCTGTGTTCATGTCAATATAATACTGATTCAACAGCGATGTTTTTCAGCTCAGAAAACAAGCATGACAAACACAGACACGTTATAGCTAATGATAGAGGGCATGATTTACATTCTCTGCGGCTCAGAGCGATGCAAGTCACGACACATTTTACTGTATCTTTATGACTTACAGAAGCTTAATAATGACATGTACTATTCAGTAGAGCATCATGGGCTCGATTCCCAGGCCATGAGCTTAATGAAAGAAACATGCACAATGCATTGCATTAATGTGCGCTACAATAAAAGCAGGTGTGCAACAAATACATAAATGTGAATGTGAACTGCACTAAAAGTTTAATAGAAGTATATATATTACAAGAGAGCAAAAAGAGGATAAATCAAGAGGTTTTTCATCACAAACATCTAAACATTCTTAAATCAAGATGCATTTACTGGAGAAGAAGCAAAAAGTTAAGCTCGTAAGTAAACAAGAACATACAATGGAGTCAGAAAAATAAACTAATTCAAATGGAAAATACGTGTTTTTTTCTGACCCATTGAGACACATTGTATGTTTTAAGCACAAACTCACTTCACTTTTTATCAGTTTTTCATTAAAAAAAAATCATTGCATTAATGTGCGTCACTTTGCATAAAAGCAACAAATGCATAAATGTGAATAAAGTAAACATTGACTAGAATTCATAATTCACATATTAAAAATATCAATGTTTTTTTCTCAGTGTTTCTGTTTTGTTTTTCAGCACAAATATCTAAACACTATAATAAATCAAGACAGAAGAAAATGACTGAAGATATTAAGACATTAAAGATAATAATTTGTTAGTTTGTACAAATATCTGCCAATGGGAGTCAGAAGAAAAAATAAATAATAATACTCTGACCGATTGACAGACAGTTTGCTTGTTTTTTTTAACACACTGACTACATTTTAATCAGTTTTTCATTAAACAAACTTTTTTTTTTTTTTTTTTTTTTTTTTTTTGCTTCTCCAGTAAATATATCTTGATTTGAGAATGTTTGGATATTTGTGCTGGAAAACCAGAGGAAAAACATCATGTTTTGTCTATATTGGCAGTTCTGACCTTCGGTGAGGATGATGATGGCGACACACGTGAGCAGAAGGAGAGAAGTGGCTTTTAGCTCCATCGTGGAAACATCAGTAGTGACAGTGAATGAAGACAGAAAAATCACTTAAACACACTTACGCAAGTTCGGTCCGCCCTCATCATCACCTGGCCTGTCTGAACTCATACATCACACCAAAGAAAACACTCTATACAAATCCATTATGAAATATCTTTTAAATGAAGCATTTGCCCTGCAGCACAATCTTCATTTCCTGCGCTCAGGTGAGGGCGGCTGATAGGTTATGCGTGACACGAGCACATAAAGTAACGATGTGTGTTTATGAGTTTCTCAGGTGTGTGTGATTGATTTGTTACGGTCACTTGTCATGAGTGTCTCGATCGGGGTGTGTCGCAGTAATTGTGTTGTATATGTTCAAGCTTGTTTTCTGCTACTTTCTTTTTTAATATTGTTTCACTTTTGATCTTCCAGGAAATCCTGCTCATTCGAATGTGAAAATCATCAGTTTTTATTAAATAGCTTTTCCATGCAATAATAGACGTCCTCTTAAAGGATGCACTCAAATAAATGCGTCTGGATGAAATATACGCAGCGCTGCATGGGCTGAATTAAATTATTTGCCCCCTTGGTATAAATAGCCTAGATTGCGGTAAAAGAATATATCTGCATTGTTAATCCCTTTGATATTTTATTTTAAAAAAAAATTGCAGAAATCTAACTTTCATTGAAGTAAAAGAATTGAAAATCACATAATGAAATAAATGTTTTTCTCCAAAACACATTGGTAAAATGTTTTTGTCCCCTTTTATTAAAGTCCCTCTAAAGTTAAAATGAAGCGTGTGTTCTGAGTTTGTCACACTACAGTAAAATCTGTTAGCAGCCACCCAAATTTGAATGATAAAAAAGCCGCCAAGTGCATAAAAAAAGCTATAAAAATCTTGAAAAAATGTGCATTATTCTCTGCTCTCAAACGCTGGGAGGGGAGGGGGGGCGTGTCCAAATTTAAATATGGACACCGATCTGTCCAGGATAAACACATTTCCGTGACGAAGGCAGTTAGCTAGAAAAATCAACTATATGCTGCAGGCTAGTAACTAATAATAGCCTTGTCATGACCTACCCGATCTCACGACCAATTTGTACGAATTCGTACGAGTGATTAAAAAGTGGCTAATTCTACGACCTCACTCGTACGAACTCATACAATTTGTCTAAACCCACGTGATGGTTAGGTTTGGGGGCGGGGTCAGGGGTAGGTCATTCGTATCATACGAATTGGCCAATTCGTAAAATATGTACGATTTAGCAAAATCGTGATAATTTTTACGAGTGAGGTCGTATGAATTGTTACGAATTAGCCACTTCGTAAAATTCGTACGAATTCCGTGAGATCGGGTTGTCATGACAGTATGGCTAACTTGATATTGAGAGGCGAACTGATGTGAATGTGCTCTAGTTATATAGTTAGGGGAGGGGCCAGCGTCAGTGGCTGCAGTGCGTCATCGACAGTAGGGGAGGGGCCAGCGTCAGTGGCTCCAGAGCGTCATCGACAGTAGGGGCGGGGCCAGGAGCCCATTTTGGCCCCGCCCAAAAAATCCAGAACACAATAAAAAAAGTTTAACAGTCTAACTCCAGAATTCATTCGTCTTTATTATGTGTTTTAGCAATATATTTCTAACATTTATAATGTTTTTGTTTTTTTAGAATTGCCTTTACAGGGACTTTAAATACTTAAGGACCATTCCTCCATACAGAAGCTCTCCAGACTCCCAGATCCATGTCAGCGCTTCTCCTCCTCCTCAGGTCAGTCTCGTCTTCCACAGGGATCAGGTCAGGGACTGGGACGCTGGTTTTGTGACACATTTTTGTTTTTTTCGGATCCCTGTCCTGTTGAAGAGCCAAACCCGACCCGTTATATGATTTCTAGCAGAGGCTGTCAGGTTTTGATTTTATATATTTGATTGAATCCATGACCATGATGCCATGACCTCTGGCAGAAAATTAGCCCACAACATTAAAGATTCATTAGTATCACATTTTACACAGGATACTTTTTTTATCCCCGCATGAACCAAACCCATAGGCCTATTAAGTGCAATAAATCATCCATAAACACTCAACGGCTAGAGAATACCCATAATGCACTGTGATGGTTGCACCCCACGTCTCACCACAAGAATACCCATAATGCACTGTGAGGACTCGCCAGAAGATGGCGCTGAAGCTGAATCATCCATCCATGCATTTTCCAAACCGAGGGTCCAATGTGGGTACAGTGTAAGATCATACAGGTAAGGGGCATTTCGAACAGCCCATCACTGGTGTTTTTAGTATTTATTGCTTTAAAACAAGATTTTGTATCTCTACTCCTCCATCATGCACATCATACAGCCAACCTGACAGTATTTATATATATTCTGTATTTAATGTAGGTTTGCAGTGGAACAAAATCATATCTTGTAGAACTGAGACTGTGTTTAGCTTTAATTCTTTCATGCGTCTTTCATTGAATTTATTTAGCATGCGACACTTTTTGTCCTCATTTGAATGCATTAGATTTTTTTTAAGTGATTAAAGCATAAAGTTAATTATCCTGTGCACTTGATTTATGTTTAGACCATAAAAGAGTTTCAAACCTGATTGTCAGGATATGTCGAAGACAGTTAGTGGATCAACAGGAGCTTCCAGAAAAGCCCACAGGCTGCTCTCAAGACTTGCAATGCGAAGTGAGTATTAAATATCTGTATTATAATACAAAGGCAGTAACAGGTCATGCTGCTTTTGGGACAAAGAACTCGACCCAAAGTGCCAACAATAACAAGAGAACTGCGATGACAAACCAGATTCACATTCACATCCGTTTACTACATACAGTATGTATAAGTTGAGCAACATGTGTGAGTGAGTTACAGACACAGATCACGATCAGAAGGGCCTCTGTCTCCTCGAAGCCAGATTCAACAGATGCAGAAGCATTTCTCCCGAAACACTCTTCAGCCCAACGCCGTCTTCAGCCGGGAGAAACCGCACGTCTTCAGAACATTCTGGATCCAGAGAACATCCCTCTGTCGGATAAACCACACGCATTAGCTTAATCTGTGTGTGTAAAGGCCCTATTCCCGCTAGTTTCAGCCTGACGCAGTTTTCATTTTCACGTATATACGCCACGATGTTTAATCCTCATCCTTCCCTCGGGTCATTTTGACCCGGAATAAATTGAGTGTTCATCAGAGGGGTTCAAGACCCTATAAGGACTTTTGTCGCAATCGAACCGCGAATAAACACAAAGCATTTTTTTATGGATTCGAGGAGTTTTGTGGTTTAAATGAACCCTTATGCTGCATTAGGGACATTTTTGGTCTTTTGCAGTTTAATTTCTTTGACCATTTTGGCTGTTTTAATGCAAATGGTATGAAATTTGGCAAAATTGTGACTTTTTGGATACATGTAAAAAATGTGATCCCATTTTGCAAAATATGTATAACACACACTGTGTAGATCAAATAGTAACACTCAGCACCATAAAGACCAAAAATGGCCCATTGAAACCCATTAAAACGTTGTTTAAATCTGAGGCTGTCAGTAATAGCCTACATGAAACATGATTTTTGCACAAACATCCTTTCATTTTGAAGCAAAAGCATTATATTTGCATTATATAGTGTATTCCACCAGATGACGTCACTACATATTTATTCCCTATGGGTGGAAATGCACCTTATTTTAGGCAATAGGCAATGTTTAATAGGTGGCCATTTTTGGTCTCTAACGCGCTAAGTGGGATTTTTTGCAAAGTGGGACTGGGATAATCCAAATCTAAAGTTTTCTCTTTGCATTTAGTTTATTGAAAATAATTGATTTTTTGTGTTTTTTCCTCTTATGCAAATCGATGGTTTCACAAACAAAACTGGTAATTAAAGGGTTAAAATCCTGAAATTGAATATATTTTTGGTAGTTATGATGAGGACTGATGCTGGTTAAAAGATTTAACTTGGTAAAAGTGGAAAATAATAATAATATAGGCTATAATATTTTAGGCAATGTTTAATATGTGGCCATTTTTGGTCCTTAATGCACTCAACGGTGTTAAAAATCTAATGCAGCACAAGGGTTAAAAAAAGTAACAAAATCCTTCCATTGCGGGTCAATTTGAGCGCCTTAGGAATGAATGGAATGCGAGGAATGCTTCAGTACACATAGAAAAACCTAAAAATGCTTGAAATCCATAAAAATGGTAAAACTTAACCAAAAAATCATGTGTGTCTGAATGCACACAGAAATAACTGACTTTAGGACCCAGAGGAACAGCTCATTTAGAAATAAGCCCATCTAGAGACATGAAATATCATGTTATTTTATTTATTTAACCACGGTCGTAATATCCTATGCGTTCAAATTTGTCTTTCAAATTCGTTTTGTTATGATTTTTAGCCAAAATTAATTAAGTCACCAGTTGTTTCTGTCGTTTCGTCGCCGACTAGAACTTTAGAGTGTGCACGCGCAGCGCACGCGACGTTCCTGGACGCGGACGCGCGCATCGACACAGACTCGTCCTGCTCCTCCGCGGCCTCGTCAGTCAGCGATGAAACACCACAAACAACAACAGACTAGCGTCATATGATCCTGCTCTTGTTCATGCAAATGCTTTGAAACCATTTATGCGCGACAAGACAAACGAGAACGCGCTCCTCCTGACACACACACCCAATGCGCGCCAGTATCCAGTTCTGTCGCTTGAACAAACAAAAACACACACATGTATGCCAAAATGTTCGTTTTGTCGAGTATCCCCACAAGAACAGTATTAAATGAGTTAAATAAAATTTTAAATGAAAATTAAGAGTAGTTCGAGAATGAGATGTGTGAGATCCTGCAGATCTTAAAGTGACAGGAGCCTCTAATTCCCTCTGTCAGTAAAGATAACCAAAGAACAAAGGGAACAGAAAAAAAATACAAACTGCTCTTGACTAAATAATGCTTGTAGCTTTAATAAGGATTAATCTATATATTTATATTTATATTTATGCAGTGCAGACTGTTTGATAACCTTATTCAGTTTCTGGATGTGTCATACCAGAAAGGCACAGCACAATTAAATATGACGTTTATTATAGGTTTATGTAAGGCTTGTTTTAAGTTCACTTAAATTATAAGTTGTTAAATTTTAAGCCTGATAAATGTTTAAAATGTATGAATCATTTTTTCATCGAGACATCAGTAGCTGTAATATCAATGATACTGGCCTTCATTCATAAACAGATGCCATTAAGCAATTATTTTAAAGGGATAGTTCGCCCAAAAATGACTCACTCTCATGTTGTTTCAACCCCGGAAGACTTTCGTTCATCTTCGGAACACAAATCAAGATATTTTTTAAGATATATTATTTTTTTTCAAGATATTAAATCTTAAACTTTCCGGCCTAGAAAGTTATGAAAGACATCATTAAAATAGTCTGAGTGACGACAGTGGCTCAACGTTTAGTTTATCAAGCGACGAGAATAATTTTTGAATAAAATGCTTTATTCAACTATTAATTTCCTTTTCTATGGGCTGAGAGATTTCACGTAGTGAAACTGCGCAAGTGAAACTTCACGTATAAACTCGTTAAACTAGCAGAAGTGTATTCAGACACACACTGTGTCACACAAGTGTACTTGCACTGTGTGCTTTTGAAAGAAAAAACTGCATATATGCAGTATAGTTGAAATTATATATCACTCTGACATAATTTTTATTTTTATTTATATATTTATTTTTTGCAGTATAGTGACATATTCACTCTAAAAATGCTTTGGGTCAAATATGGACAAACCCAAATGTTGGGTTAGAAATGCAATAAAAAAATGTACATTTGAAAGTGAAAGTTGAATTTGGGTTAAAATTTGAAATGACATTTTTAACCCAACATTTGGTTTTGTCCATATTTAACCCAAATTTGGGTTCAAAAACAACCCAGCATTGTGTATGAGCTACAAAATGACCAGATCCTGCCATGAGCTATAGGAAACTCTATGCACATATAGGGCTTATATGTGGATATAAAGAAGCAATACAGGAGACCTAAATGGCCTGTATATGCACATATATGCACCTCAAATTGACTATATGTGCCATACGCATATATGCAGCGTATATATTACCATATATGTGCATATATGCTGTATGCGTATATATCCTCATATAGGTTCTTTCCATGCTTTTGATGGTTAAAATAGGGCCCCCCCTGTGTGTGAGTGTTTTGCTCACCCGAGTGGCAGCAGACCCCCGGAGCGACACACAGGCCCCCTTCGGCCCCGCAGGGCGACCCGCTCGACTCGCAGGCTCCGGGCAGCAGATTCTCCTCCATGCAGTTCAGCGTCTCTGGAGACCCGAGCAGACACCCGAGCCCGGCTCCACAGCAGATCCTGGGGCCCACACACCGGCCCCTATTCCCAGGACCGCACGCCATACACTACACACAAATAATTACATTGTTATTATTCATAATAATATTTTCAGCATGTAAATTGAATTAGGCCTACATAAATGCCATGTTGATACACTGTAAAAAATGATTGTGATTTTAACGGTAAAAAACTGTTAATTGGTTAACAGATAGATACAGTAAATAACTGATATAATGGAACATTTAATGTAATTTTACTGTAAAATACCGTTAAATTGACCATTTTTGGAATAGAAAAAGAACAAGTCATTGTATAATTTACAGTGAAAAAATGTAAATTGACATTCCCACAATACCCTGTGTCACATTTCACATTTAATGATTTTTTTTTTTAAATAACTGTTTCTTCAATCATTTTTTTTTCTCTTCAGTTATGTACATTAGGGTTTTATGTTACATTTAATGTTGTTTTATTGATTTTTTACTGTGCAGCTTCTGTATTAGTGTTGATTATCTTGTGGAAGAGCTGATTATGATGAGCTTTGATTGGTCATGTGACTACCCATTACTGCTGTGATTGTTGGCTATCAGTGGAACAAAACAGATATTAATACTTCAAAAGGTCAGTAAATTACATCAGATAATAAAATGCGGTTTATTGCTGTAAAATTATATACAGTTAAAAGTCTACAAAAACTAAAATGTTGCTACCATATTTTTAACATATTTTCCTGGTAACCAGTTTTTTCCCGTAAATTTAACGAAATCTAGTTTTTATTTTCATTTTATTTGATTAATATTAGTAATTAGATACATAAAACTGACAAAGCTAAATTTTGTTCTTGCACTTATTTTTTTTCTTAGTTTTTACTAATATTTTATTATTTATTATATATTTTATTATTTTGCACTCTCTTTAATTTTAGTCCAGTTTTAGTATTTTTTGTGTGAAAAGTTCTAGTGTTATGGAGTGATATATAGAGTGATGATGATGAAGATGGAGTGATGATGATGATGAAGATGGAGTGATGATGATGATGATGAAGGTGCAGTACCTCTCTGACAGGCTCGGATCTCTTGCCTCCTCTCGGGCAGTTCTGGATGATGATGATGATGATGGAGTGATGATGATGAAGATGGAGTGATGATGATGATGATGAAGGTGCAGTACCTCTCTGACGGGCTCGGATCTCTTGCCTCCTCTCGGGCAGTTCTGGATGATGATGATGATGATGGAGTGATGATGATGAAGATGGAGTGATGATGATGATGATGAAGGTGCAGTACCTCTCTGACGGGCTCGGATCTCTTGCCTCCTCTCGGGCAGTTCTGGATGATGATGATGATGATGGAGTGATGATGATGAAGATGGAGTGATGATGATGATGATGAAGGTGCAGTACCTCTCTGACGGGCTCGGATCTCTTGCCTCCTCTCGGGCAGTTCTGGATGATGATGATGATGATGGAGTGATGATGATGAAGATGGAGTGATGATGATGATGATGAAGGTGCAGTACCTCTCTGACGGGCTCGGATCTCTTGCCTCCTCTCGGGCAGTTCTGGATGATGATGATGATGATGGAGTGATGATGATGAAGATGGAGTGATGATGATGATGATGAAGGTGCAGTACCTCTCTGACGGGCTCGGATCTCTTGCCTCCTCTCGGGCAGTTCTGGATGTAGCACGCGGACGAGAGCGCTGAGAGCGCCAGCACACAGAGAACACACACGGGCAGCAGAGACTCAGACATCTCCACACACACACACACACACTGATCCACTGATGCTCAGAGACGCTTATATACACCTGCAGCTCCTCCTCCTCTCACACACACACACACACACACACACACACCTGCGAGAACACATCGACCTTCACGTTATTCTCAGTAGTTTTGCTCCAAAACGAGTTTGACATCAAATCCACAGGCTTTTTTTTTTTTCAGAAACACAAAGGCATATGGGTGGAGGTCAAAGGTCATCACTCACGGGGTCAGTACTGTTCTTCGAAAGGTTTTAAACATCAGAGGGTTAATTTATATACTACTTACAGAAACTTAAATACATGTACACTGCCGTTCAAAGGTTTTGGATCGGTAATGTTTTTAAAAGAAGTCTCTTCTGCTCACTCGGGCTGTGTTTATATGGCCAAAAATGAAATATTGTTATCATTAGTATGTAAATCAGTTGTTTTCTATGTGAATACAGTCATTTATATCCTGTGATCAAAGCAGAATTTTCAGCATTACTCCAGTCTTCAGTGTCACATGATCCTTCAGAAATCACTTTAATATATTGATTTGATGCTCAAGAAACATTTATGATTATTATCGGTGTTGAAAGTTGTGGCCAATATTTTTCAGGACTTTACACCACTGCATCCCACGCTATGCATTGCACTTGGTGATGTAACAAGGCTTGGATGCAGCTGCTCAGTCATGGAATAGGTTTCCCATGATGCTCTCTCTCTGCCCTTCAGCTGAAGTTTGGAGATCTGTACCTGTTCGCTTTAGCATGCGCTCACCAATTGCTTCCAATTTGTTATAATACCACTAACAGTTGACCTTGGAATATTCAGTAGTGAGGAAATTTCACAGGTGGCAACCTACCACAGTCCCGTGCTTGAATTCACTGAGAGGGACACATTCTTTCATAGATGTTTTGTATGCCTATATAGCGGCTTTATTTTATACTGTGGCCATTGAAGTGACTTGAACGACTGAATTCAATGATTTGGAGTGGTGTCCCAATACTTTTGGCTATATACACAATGTACACGATATGACCACGCACTACATGATATACAAACTTATGTCTGTATCAAATAAAATATATCGATAAGGTTCAAGTGTTTTTCCCTTTTTACTTAAATGATTTCTTGGAAAATAATTTTGATTTTTGATTTGCTCAGGGGGAGGGACAAATTTTCAATAAATCAATAAAATGCTCCCAAATGGACCAATAAATGATGTGGAATAATTTTTATCCGTGCCATCAAAATGCATGCAGTACTATAGGGTTAATACTTTTATTCAGCAAAGATGCATTACATTCATCAAAAGTTACAGTAAATACATTTATATAATGTTACAAAAGATTCTATTACAAATAAATGAAATAGAACTTTCTATTTGTCAAAGAATCCTGAAGAAATTGTCCATAACTGTTTTCATCATTGATAATAATCACAAATGTTTCTTGATCATCAGATCCTCATATTGGAGTGATTTCTGAAGGATCATGTGACACTGAAGACTGGAGTAATGATGAGGTAAATCACATGAATAAATTACACTTTACTGTATATTCACATAGAAAAAAGTTATTTTAAATTACATTTTTTTACTGTATTTTGTATTCTACTTCTTTTAAAAACAAAAAATCTTACTGATCCCAAACGTTTGAACGGCATATAGGCTATATTAAAGCAAAAAAATAAAAAATAAATAAATAAATAAATAAAATAAAATAAAATTAATGTGAAAGGTGCGAGACTTCTGGAACACATGTTCTTGGATCAGTGTGTGAGTGACAGAGAGAGTTGAAGGTCAAACCTGCGAAATCACAGATATGCGATTCATCCGCGCTCGGACTAACCAATGCAAACGCTGCTCAGTATTCAGATGCACATCTCTGATCTAACCCACACTGGTGATGCAGGACAACAAAAGAACAATTTCATAAATAACACGTGGAGAAATCAGACGTGCTTCAGGATCAGGAACTGTAAATGAGCACCGATAATAAACTCATCAGTAATGATGCAAACGAGGTTCACTCACCTCATTTAAACCGGTTCTGCAACAACAGAAATAATTGTCATAATGAAATTCTGCACGTATACAGTAAGCTAAGTTATTGATCGTTGTTTATAATAAGACTTGGAAATCAGCGACAGGTTTTAAAGAAGCTGATCATTATTCCTTGAGAACATTATGTACATTTTTCCTGAATAGACAAACATTTTGGCTTTGCTTCAAAAAAAATGACACATCATCTGAATACATTACTAGAAGACAGTGGTCTGCATTAAAGTTTATTATTTACTCCATTATGATCTCGCGTTCATGAAGAAAACATCTGCCGCTCAACTGAGGCACATTATATCTGGATATTAATTTTGAGAATCGATCAGTTCAGGGAAGTTAGGGATTTTAAGGAGGGATATCGGTGATATTAAATCTGCATATCAAATGGTGTTGGATATTTTAAATACACACTTTAAAAATAAGACTTTCTTCTTCAGTAGTAGGCCTATTTCTCTTGTTTTCCAGCACAAAGCTCTTTGCAAGTCGGTTTAGTTCGATAATGTTCTTTTATTTAATATTTTAGTGGATTTTATGGTACTAGGCTAAGTTGCACTATAAATCACTCATTCACTTTTTACCTGAAAATTAAATGTCCAACTTAAACTGTGTAATTCTTGAATGCTTTAGAGCGACAGACTGAAGATCTTCTCAACGACACTGAATATTGCTGACGTGAAAACAGTTTTAAAAGAGAACTTTAAAAAAAAGTAGGCTACAGAATTTTGTTTATTGTTGTAAAAAAATGTGCAAAAATACTATTTTCAATTTTTATATGAATATATTTTCAAAAACGTTTTACTCTAAAACGGTGGGAAAAGCAAAGCCACAAATGTTGTGTTTAGAATGTGAGTCTGATCTCTCAGTAAACGAGCGTTCAGTGAGTGTGTGTTCGGCTGCAGTTCCAAACGCTTCCACTAGAGGAAACTCAGATTGAGCCTTCGCACACAAACAAACAAACAAACAAAAAAAGAAAAAGTTGCGTAGGGCTCCGCAAATGACTCAAGGCCCCTCCCCCGCGTGTCAAAGCGCGTCAATCAAAGCTTTCAACATCAAAGAGTTGCGCGGAACACTTCCGGTCACGAAATAAACACCGGGAACAGGGATCAGACAGACTTGTGTTCTCTCCTCTCCAAGTTTGATGTCAACGCAGAAGTTAAGTTGATGTGCATCTCTCTCTCTCTATCTATCAGGAAAGCGCGTATAAATACCACGAATCTCGTGCAATTTATACGCCAAAAATAGTTTTTTTTTCGTGCACTTTTTGGTGTTGCATGCACGCACTCCAACACCACACCCCTAATCACTGCCAAGAGATTTACAGTCCGTATCATGCACGCAAAAAAAAAAAAAAAAAAAAAAAAAAAACATTTTTGGTGTATAAATAGCACGAGAAAATTCGTGCAGATAACGCACTTTCATGAGATTGCGTTTGATAAAGGCCAGTTTGTTTAAAAGATAACCGCGTCGCGCGTTAACATGAGTTGATTATGCGCGTGCACGAAATGAAACACGCACTTTCCAGTAAAACATCTATGGGGACCAGTTACTAGTAGAATATCGGCGTGATGGCACTCCTCATTAGTCATTAGGCGCTCATACTTTTAAAACAAGACCATGATTATCTAGTCTCCAAGTCAGTTTAGCTACAACTCTGCGATAAAGCAAGATGGAAAGCATTTAAAATGTCAATGTGGATGCACATCCGACCCTCAGTAAATAATAACCATCAAGCATCAGTTATTGCTTTTATTATTTAAAACACAGTGACATGCAATGGCAAGCCATTTTAGCTTTTATTAATTCACAGGATGCATTTTTGATATCAATAATTAAACACTATTTAAAATGTGAATTATTGATATTAATATAAAACTTTCTGATATCACATTTTCATTAGTACTAACTAAAGGAGTGAGGATTGTAGTGGGAGCACTGGGGTGGCGATGGCGAATGGTTTCAGGCAGGACGGCCCCTAACAGAGTTATGCTTAGGGCCCCAGGAGGTCGGGATCGGCTCTCCGTGTGACACAGTGTGTGTCCTTCAGGTGTGTGTGATTGTGTGGAGGACATGTTCAGTTTAGCATTACAATAGATGGCAGAGGTCAGAGCTGTTCATTCTCACACAAAGAGAGTTCAGCCTTGAGTCGCTGTATTAAACTCCTGCGCTTCAATAACACTGAACACACACACCGGACACACACACTGAACTCAAGGATTCCTCATTCTGCAGAAAACAGCCTGAGATCCAACGCCGAACACGACCACTCACAGTCTAGAAGAGTCTCCGTGTATTTCATCAAAAATACAGTAAAAATACTGAAATATTATTGTAATGTAAATCATCAGTTTTCTATGTGAATATATAGTAAAGTGTAATTTATTTCTGTAATTTTCAGCATCATTACTCCAGTCTTCAGTGTCACATGATCCTTCAGAAATCACTCTAATATGAGGATCTGATGATCAAGACAGATTTATGATTATTATCAACGTTGAAAACAGTGATGCGTTTTATTTTTTTAGGATTCTCTGATGAATAGAAAGTTCAAAACTGAATTTATATGAAATCGAATGTTTCGTAACATCGTGTTTTTACTGTCACTTTTGATCAATTTAATGCGTCATTGATGAATTAATGTTAAAAGAAATCACAAACATTTAAACAGTACTGTACATTAAAACAAGTTATCTACAATCCATTTCACATGTGTATATATATACATATTCATATTGATATACAGTCACAAGGACACATTAAATTGATCATAAGTGACTCTATTCATCAAAGACTCCACAAAAAACTGTTTTCAACATTGATAATCATCATAAATGAGAATTGATGCTGAAATTTCAGCTTTGTTCACATTACACTTTACTATATTCACACAGAAAACAGCTGTTTTACATTATTATAATATTTCACTATTTTTACTGTATTCTTCATCAAATAAACAGCCTTGATGAGCAGAAAAGA